ATTGTTTGTTCAAATGTACCCACGCATCACCTCATGTAATCATGCCTCACGCAGCTTCAAAGCAGCAGACTCATGTTCCTCTTTTCCTATGCAGTTATTTGCAACAATTTCTCTGCAATATCTTAAAATATTTTTGATCTGAAAAGCACATTGAACATGATCTCTTCTGGTCGATTTACTTCTAGCGTGATTCTTTGGAAACTTTAAATTGTTAGGTGTTTTTTTCCAAGCAATGCACCTAGTGATCCCAATCAAATGGTTTCTTTTCTACTTCTTCATTTTCTTATCGAGAGATGCAAAATATGCTCGTGCATGCGTTAAATAAAAAATAAGTTATAATGTTCACCTTCCTATTCTCCTTACAAAAGCTGGCTATTGGCTTGGTTGTTTAAGTGATGGCTTTGGAGATCTCAAAATCCCTCCTTCAAGTTTGATGACATGTTTTTTCCTTTGTCTGGAGACAAAATACAGATTATTTATTGTTTTTTTGTGTGACACGTCTTCTGTCCTTAAATTGTTTGTTTCAGGGTTTTTGGCGGGGCAATGTGCCAGCATTACTCATGGTTATGCCATATACGGCCATACAATTTACAGTTTTACATAAGTTGAAGACTTTCGCATCTGGTTCTTCCAAGACAGGTATTTGTTTTGTAATTCAATTGTTGTCCAGTGGACTTGAGCATTTGAGCTTTAATAAGCGATCTGAATTGGTATGCCAGGTGTCTGTTAGGTTATTTTGTTGGCAATTAGTTGTTTGTTTATGTCATCATTATCAATTATTGCTTTAAAAGGATAAGTCCATAAACTCATATTTATTCCAATATCTTGCTCTTGCTAAACTATAGTTTGCTAATGCATTAAGTAGTTTAGTGAAGAATGCTGTTGGTAGTATAATTGTATGCATATAGTATATGTGCTGGTCAAAACCCATTCCATTGCTCATTTTAGAGATATTATTTACTAAGAGTGTCCTGAATTTTTTCTAACTAAAGGTTTATGTCGTTATCACATATCTTCTGTTGCTGCAGAGAATCACATTCATTTGAGCCCATATTTATCCTATGTCAGCGGGGCATTAGCTGGGTGTGCGGCTACCGTAGGGTCATATCCCTTTGATCTGCTCCGAACTATATTGGCTTCTCAAGGTGAACCCAAGGTATAAACTTTATTTACTTATTAGATGCATTGTCTAATTAGTTAAATTTCCCAATATAGTTTTTTTTATGCCATCATTTATTTCCATTGGCCTATGCCCTACAAGTCTAACTTTAATCCCTTTAAATATTGAGATGCCAAAAGTTTGCTGCCCCGCGCATTTGTGCTTGACAAAATTCCATTTTTTTTCTTGCTTCCAATTGGAGGTTGACGTGGTGTTTGTGGACCTGATTTTTGTAATGATGCTCTGTAAATATTTTCTGCCGTTCAGGTATATCCAAATATGAGATCAGCATTCCTTGATATAGTCAGGACTCGTGGCTTACAAGGCTTGTATGCTGGATTATCACCTACACTAGTTGAGATTATACCCTATGCAGGCCTACAATTTGGCACCTATGATACATTTAAGCGTTGGACCATGGTAAAATTCCAGTCTTTTCTGCTGATGTTTTTTCCCTATTAGTTGTCACTATGCCTTGCATGCATTAATCTTATTTAAGTAATTGTGAAGTTGACTTGGGGATTTTGTATGACCCTGCACTGCAGCTTATTCTTGCTTTTTATGCACCTTTTTATCCAATAATTGTCTGAGTGCTCTTTAAGGTTTCTCTCGCTCAATGTGAAATCTCCATTGTAGATAGAGATGCTTAATTCTTCTATATCTATGAATTACTGTATGATTTACATGACTCCTGTCATGCGCACACACTCAAGTTATATGCATTCATAATGAAGCCATTGACAGCAGTTTCTGCTAGTCTGAATTGTAGCGTGTCCGTGTGATTAATTATGCCTTGTATCTTGTATAAGATCCTCATTTTGTTCATTTAAAATGAAATTGGTGCAAAATAGTGGCAGAAAGGTCAAGTGGGAATTATCTCACCGCAGAATTTTAAATATATTTAGTTTTCCTCTTCTGGTAATCTCATGAAGGATTTAGTTGTTGGATTCATCTCCCGTGCCGATGGATATTCCTTTTTGGTTTTTCTCTTTGTGAGCAAATTTTTGGAACTTACGTATTTTTTTGGGTCATACACTGTTATTATAGGCATGGAATCGTTACAGATATTCCAATACAAGCTTGTCCTCTATAGAAGATGGCCTCTCTAGCTTTCAGCTTTTTATTTGTGGACTGGCCGCTGGGACGTGTGCCAAACTCGTCTGTCATCCACTTGATGTGGTGAAGAAAAGATTTCAGGTAGATCTCTACGAGTTTTTGAACGACAAAATTTTGATTTAGATATTTGGCATTAGCCTTTTCAATTAAAAGTTGACATGTGGAGGAGCTATTTTGATGGAGTTAGTAATGTGCTGTCAAATTGATAAAAATATTTACATTCATACTTTCATTGAAAAATCTGGAAGCAAACACTTAAAATATCTGATATAAGCCTTCTCCATTTTTATTCCCTGTTACTAGCACCATGTGACTAAATATCAAATAAACTGGTGTTGACCTTATTCTTCGAAATTGATGCCTTTTGTGTCGTCTGAAACAAGCATACGATGACATTCAAAAGACATGACATAGGTTATCAGCCTGTTTGATGCTTCATCATTAATCATCATTTTCTGCAGATTGAAGGTCTTCAAAGGCATCCGAGATATGGAGCTCGAGTCGAGCATCGTGCATACCGAAACATGCTTGATGCTATGCAACGGATACTACTGTTGGAGGGTTGGGCTGGCCTATACAAGGGGATTGTCCCTTCAACTATAAAAGCTGCACCTGCAGGTGCTGTAACATTTGTTGCGTATGAATTGACTTCAGATTGGTTGGAGTCCATACTGGCATGATTTTTGACACTTATATTTTTTCTATGATTATTCAAATCATTTTTTGGCCAAGCTCTAGAAGTTTAGATTGTTAAATCCCTCATAGGATAGGAAGAAAGCAAGATGAACATGCTGATTTACTCTAGTCATACTCGTATGGGTGAAGCTGATAAGATGACAAGTGGTTCTTATGATGGAGGGAAGTTCATAGACAAAGCTGATCATAGTATACTGTTTTTTCTTTTTCTTTTTTTTCTTTATCCCTGTGGAAACTGTCAATGGTAGATTCATACGGTTCAAATGGCTCTTAGTATTGATGTCAAATAAATTTTTTTTTTTTTCATACATTGAGTTTGAGAAATGAGTGTTTATTTATTATTTTATAATTGTGATTTGTTATTGTAAGTTGAATTGAATATTGATTTTGATATCCAAAAGCAAATCAAAAGCAAATTTTGCAAAATAGTGCGTCCACATTTTTTTGGTGTATTTTTTTCTTCTTGATTAGTCGAGTGGCAAATTTCCCGGAACAGTGGAACCATAGTGTGTCTATCCTTTTTCTTTTTTATTAGTCAAGTGGGTTGAATTTCACGGCAAAGACCAAGTTTGTAATGGTGTTGACATGTTGCTTTAGGGTGTGTTTGGGATCACATTAGTGACTCCAAAAGTAATTTCTACACTGCAAAAAACTTATGACCATTTCTCTTGTTTGGATCCGCAATTGTCTAAGAAGTCCTTTTCTTTTCTATTGCACGGTGGAGCAGAAGCTACCAAAAGTGGTTTTTTCAGTACATTATGGTGCGGCAACATCATGAGTTCCTTAAATTTGTTACCTATCCAAGTTGTCCTTCTACCCAAAGACAGGATGAAAATTAACAAACTTTTTTTCTGCAAATGATTATGAAATGCTCTGTTTTTCTTTGCTAGAAAAGAAGCAAAGAATCTCAGAGATACAGTGGTGGGTCTATAAATGATTATGAGACGCTGAGGTGGGGAGAGGGTTTGAGAGGGATTTTGAGATGCTGAAATGGGAAGAAGTCGTGAATGATTATTATTGCTACCATCAGGGACAAATTGACAGAGGCAAGGTTGGGGAGGGATGGAGAAGGTAGGCAATGGAGTGAGGAGTGAATTGATTAGAGATTTTGAGGTTTAAAAAAAATGTCAGAACCTTCTTTATTTTCTGTTAAGATATCTTTTTGTTTGTTATTTTATTATCTAAAGTCTTTTATTCAGCTAAGTTAGTCCAAATATCTCTAATCTCAAGAGATTATTCAAATATATTTGTATCTTTTTATTGTATTTATTTTTATTATTTAAAATTTATATACCTTTTTTATCCATTAAACATATCTAATTAAGTACTTTAGAACTATTTTTATTTTTATAATTTGTTAATTTTAATATTTCTCTTAAAATTTTCACATTATGTACATAATATATATGTCATTTAATAAAATTTATATCCTTTTCAGTCATTTTATATCTAAACTTGCTTTTTTTAATTACTCATCTAATCAAGTTTTAACTGCTCAAACTGATTTCTTTATAAAAACCAATTCAAACATAAATTGCATTATACTACTTGACTTTTATCCGTGAAAGTCAGATTGCAAAAAAAATTACTTCTCTACCGCTAATCCAAACACACCTTTAGTTGGGTTCTGTGTTCGTATTATTATTCTTCTTAAATACACACGAGCATGTAAAAAATACTACTTCCAGTTCTAATTATAAGACCTCATTTGATTTTTATTTTGATCTCAATTATAAGATGCCAATATATTTTGTCTCTCATATCTATCTTTTTTTTTTTTAAAGCAAATAAGGATGTTTTAGGAAACATAATGCCTATTTATTACACATAACTAAATTAGTTTTATTAATCTACTCAAATGAGTCAACTAACTCTTATATTAAGAACGGGAAGCAGTATTTGATGTTCCATGATAGAGCGAGGTACACGTGGTTTTATTTAATTCGCCATTTCTATCCTTGAACGAAGTTACAACAAAGAACCGCACTTTCCCCCACTGCTGGAGGTACATTTGGATTGACAAAAATGAATGCAGTTTTGACCTTGTTTCCATTCATAGTCAACTTCGAATTGGATATAGACATGGTTAGCACGCACTTCGGTTTTTTCTTCATTACCTTAAAAGATGAAGAAAATTAACCACCCTTGCATATGGGTGGACAGGGACGCTCAACCTGTTGGCGGCAAGACTAATTATCCAAGAATCTTTACGTAAATACAAAGCAAACAACACACGATATGTTGCCAGGCAAAACTCCCTCGTTTCTTATTCTCCTGAAAACACAGCTCGAGTCAGATTCCTTGGCATTATAAGCCTGAAGAATGAACGAACACGAAATCAAACATTGGTTTGCGGGTCGTTAAAACTTCCCCCTAGATGAAATATCCATGACTATGACCAACTTTTCTGGACATGGAAATAATCCTAACAAAATTCAAGTACTTGGGCTTTTCCGTGATAACAGAACAACACAGTCGCCTAGAAGTCGATAAACACCTCAGATTCACAGTATCACATTCGAGCTTCTGTGGAAGATTTTAATCATTTTCCAAAGGGTAAGACCCCATTTAGTCTTCAAACCTGTTTAGAACTGGCTCTGTCAATAGTTCTCTCAAGGTCACTCAGCTTCCCGGTCTGTTCTTTTCTCTATTGATATCTTCAAGAGGGAGTGATAGGAACTGCAAGATCTTTTGAATCTGCACATTATCAACCTGGAATCTTTCAGCAATCTGCTGGACATCCATTCGTCCGTCGTGATCATCAGCCTTGCCTTCATGAAGGAGGATGACATGCCTTAACTGTGCCACATTTAAGGTGCCTGAAGGAACAGGCCTTTCCTCGTACCTGCCAGATTCCAGATTTGTGTTTCGCAGTTTTGGCATAGGCCTCTTATATTTCTGTACCACAGCCTGTAACCATTAAATCAAACCACAAGATGAGCTTGTCCTAACAAAACAAATAATAGCAGGACATGCTTTGCAATTCAGGCTGTGTTTAACTTTTCCTTATGTCAGGCGCAACACTTCAGCCTGTGTTAGTCACTACTGACCACAGCATTTTGTGAACTTGTATCAGTTAGAAGGTAGAGTAACCCCAAATAAATTTCTGAAATCTGTTGAACGCCAATGATAATATCCTAGTTTCACTAGTAGACAAGGAAATATACCATGAGCTACAAGTGTTGATGCTGAAATTACGGTGCAGCTGTCAACCAGGTTACATCTATTTTGCTTATTAACAGCCAAGAATTTTTTTTTTTTAAACATTGAGATAGGTATCAATCAGTAACATACTGCCAATGTTGAATTTATTGAAAGATTTTATGTCCTTGAGAGATATCAAGCATTATACAGGCAGGTGATTCCCTTGGACCTGAGCTTAATTAACTCTTTTTACTAAGTCAGCATACCAAGATCAACATATATGATAGTACTGAGTATTCAATTCCCTTTTTCCTGTAGTGGGAAGCTCATAGTCCCATTATTGTAGAGAGGCTTCAAAATTACTATTTTATGTATGGAGTGGAAACATTCATGAACTCACCTCGCCCATCTCAAGTTTCCCTCCAGGCTTTGATGTAATTCTACCAACCATTTGACCAAGCATAGAATCAAATTTAGGATCTCTTTCTTCCAAGACGTTGTCAGCATTAATCCTAGGACGACTACCTTGAGGCAAGAACAATAACAATACTATCAGCCACAATGAAATGGTAAGTAGCAACAGCAACAATAAACAACTCAGACAAACATAAAAAATTGGCTTGTTTCAAAAACCTAATACGAAAATCCTCGGTAAGCCCTCAGGAAAACAGACAAGTGACGACAAAGAATCAAATATATATCAATTAGAAAAGTTAATTTGGAAAAAAAAAAAACTCGACATTCAGTGGCCTCTCACATTGTTCAAAGTTATCGTCAGCAATGAAACAGAGCATCAAATTGTCAGGATAATCCACCAGCTGCGGCAATTACAACATGCTTGTATATACAAAACAGAAATTAAGTGAAAGGAGCAAACTGTTCCACAATCCCTTGGCACACGTGTACTTACCCGCGTCCACTGCATCTTGTTCGCCGGACTTCGTGATCTCCGGCTTGCCAGGAGGTGGAGGCCTCCGATCGAAGCCGCTCTTGAGTTTCGACGGCATCGTATCAGCAGCAGAAGGAGCTTGGAATCTTCCAGATGCTCGACGAAACGCCTGACCCATCTTTCGTACGCCACGTCCCGCTCTTACTCGAGTCCTCCAACGCTATATTTATAGCTCTGTCTCGCCCCTGTGCGGCCATAATGCACAGTCGTTTTTTCCTCTTCTGTCCAAAAGGCAAAAAGGTATTAGCTACTAAATGGTACTTTATCGGTTAATCAACTCACTAACTTCGAAAATCCACATTTAAGCCAATACCGAATTAGGTAGCGTTCTTTCTGTCACCATTCACTTGGTAAAAAATAAACTTACCAAAGAATTAAACATACAAGACTCATTTAAATAATTTATAAGTATTTTTTAAACGTGATTTATAAAGTACGAGATAATTATATGAGTAGAGTTTTTGTCTTGATTTACATAAAATGTGTTTACAAGTGACTTTAATTGTGATTCCAAACAGAATCATAATAACCTCATGTTTAAATAAGATTTAAAAAAGTGTTTAATCCAAAGCGGTTCAATTATTGTTTAATTTAATTATAGCTTTTCTCATTATTGTTTTCTCCAACAACATAATCCAACCGAGCCTCTTACATAAAGTGTGGGATGTTGGTAAAATGGTGATGATAATGATTTGATCATTAAAATACCTTAAATTAGACCCTTTTTATCTTTGACGATTAAATTTTTAACTGAAAATGAAAAGTATGTATGATCGAGATATTTAATTAGATTCTCCCAAAAAAGATTTCATAAGATGATGACATATTTATTTTAAAAAATTAAAATTGTTAAGTTATTTAATGTGAAATCATGCGACAAGGATAAAGTAAAATTTAAGTTAGTATGGTTAAGGATAAAAACTTTATTAATATAACAAAATAAAACAATTTTGGTGTTTAACAATAAGGGAAAATCCAAAAAAAAACAGAAAACTCGGAAAATACTAAATTTCAAATCAGTCTTATTTTCTATAGTTTAATAGGTTTTGGCTACATTTAATAAGGAAATAACAACACATTTTTATAAGAGTTCCTGATTTGGGATCAAAACTTTATTAACATAATGATAAAGTACTACTTTATGGTATTGGATGGGTCATTATACTTGGATTAAATGTACTAGAAAAAATACTTCAAAATGCCGGATGAAGCCTAACCCATTTATAAATACTTGATAATTTTGCATTATCTTTTACGTATTATCAAGTTTAAAACTTAATTTAAAATTTTGATTGAAATTAAAATATTGAATTCTTAAAAATTATTATGATAATGATGATAAAGCCAATTTATTACGTAGGTTGTAATATTTGTAGTTTTAGATTCAAAACTACAGCACTACTCACGCTATCCCACTCTCTTCCACCAGCACGAATAAGCAACAATATATTGGTTTTAACAAATATTTGTTTTAAAAAATCCAGAGGAAATTAGCAAGAACAAATGCAAATTATCATCAGCTACGAATGGAAAAATGACCCCATATATATACATGCATGTATGTATACTGAATGGTTGGTGTCAACCTGAAGAACTCGCGGACACACCAAAGGAACGTAAAAAGTCTAACGCTAGCTGCTAACTGCTCCTCTCTCATTTCCCATGTCAATATTCACAGGGTTCAATAATCTCAAACACCTCATTCTCCAGCATATTTTCTCGGACAAAGACAAAACTAAAGTCATAATCTGCATTGAATTGCTATGTATTCTATTTATAACAGGGCATGGAACTGAGAATGGGGACAGGAATTGAAACTAAGAAATGAGACAACTTTGGAAGACTATTTTTATTATGCTTTCAAGCTCAGAACTGGGAAGACCACAAGCATTTCCTTCTTGTGTTTCGGCTTTTCAAGTACCTTGCAGCTCAAGGAGCCTCGTGTGTAAGAAGTCTCTGGCAGAGATTTGAGATCCATGGTCTTCGTTTTCTTTTAGGTTTGTATCTATGGTCATTTATGTTCCGTACCAAATTAAAGTCTGATAAGACTCCTTTCATGTCATGTGCTATGACGTTATTGGGAATAAGTGATTACAATTCTTCCCGGGCAAAAGACTGCAGAGATCTTCTCATGCTGTGTCCAGCCCCTTCACCCTTCATTAGACTTGAAGCCTGTTAAAATCACATCTCCATTACCATTGCACATAACATTTGTTCTTTCTTCCTTTTGGAAATCTGCTCCACTGCTACTAGAAGTCTCACCTGACTTTTTACCACGCACACGTCGGGAAGGTTTAGGTGATGGACTGTCCAGTAGATAATCCCTACCTTTGCGCTTCTCCTTTCTGTCCAGATATCCAAAGGCAAAAGCTTCCAGCACTTTTGCTGTCAGTGGTCTGTTTCTTGTGCTCTGCCTTCGGGTGTTCATGTTAGGCTGCTCAGAGTTATCCTCAGCAATGGAGATCGTGGCTGCACAGGAATCATCTGTGTCCTCCCTGGAGTTATTATGTTGTCTCTCATTTGTTTCGGCATTGCAAAGTTCATCAGCTTCAGCTTCTGCTGAAACAGGCATGTTAAGGTCAATCATGGTCCGCTTCCGGGGTTTCTCATGTTGATCATCATGGCAAGAAGAGCTACTTGCAGGAACAGCTTCCCCGCTATTGATTTGACTCGTGTTTAATGAAGGATCGGCAAAAGTCTTGATCTCCTGTGGCGGAGGATTAGCGATCTCTTTATTCTCCACTATTGGATTTTCTCCCGAGAAAACAATCTTGTCAGAATTTGAACTGTCACAACAGCTACTTGCCTCTTCTTGTTTCACTCTTGCAGCCACAAAGATGTTGGCAGCATTGCAATTTCTCTCTGCACGGCTACAGGCACTTAATCTCCTTCGTCTTTTCGTAACAGGGGCAATAACATTTTTGTCATCCAGAACCTGTCTTGAGCTTGATTGGAATTTCATTGAATTTTTTCTGTGTGTGTTGCTAAACAAACCTGTCTTCCGCTCCTTGGAGGTAGTGGAACCCACCGGAAGCCCCTCACTTGAGGGGTTATTTTTGAAGTCATTAATCTCAGTAGAGACTTCCCTACCAATTTTACCTTTGGTAGATTTAACCATAGCAGCATTCTCCCTTTCACAGCACATTGTATTGACAGATTCAGATTCGTTTGTATGCTCCTCCGAGGTATCTTCACTGTCAGAATCATTTTCAGATGCAGAAGGTAAAACTCCCACTGGTAAGCTTCTCAGTTCTCTCACCTTTGACATCTTTTCACTGGCCAGACTTGTGTCCACAACAGTAAACTTCAATACATCCATGCTACGATTTGGAGTTCTTGGCTTGAGATAACAGTGGCGTTGCTGATCAGTGGAATTTTCTAAGTCCAGTTTTGTTTCATTTGTCCACCCATTTCCTTCCAGACTTTTGCAATTATTGTCAGTTACTGACTCAAGCTCTATCAACTCTGGATCTGAAGCAACTTTACCTAGGACATCACTAACAGAATCGAAATAGTGATTTCCCTTCACCAGTTTCCTTGTATACTTTTTGACTCCAGGGACAAGAAAGACCAGAGAATTCTTACATGGGAGAGCATAATTATGACCGCCAGGTTGCTCAGAGTGCCAGCCTCTGGCAAGTAAACGCGGCCAGACAGCTTCCCAGAAGAGATCACTTGATCGAGCTTTACTTAATCTGAAATCACCTGTTAGAAAAGTTATTATTTCAGCGGGTGTAAGCATTGAGCAAGCCTTGCCCACTGGTATTTCTGGCCGGCCAGAAAGTGCATGATTGGACTTTGAAGAATCTGTGGAGAAAACTGTGAGATCTTCCTTTCCTTTACCAATCCCTACAGCCTCAACTAGAGCATCAAGCCCCGCTAGAGCCTTCAAAGTTAAAACATAGTCTTCTAGAAGCATTTTGCCCTCCGCAAATGTCTTCGACACCTATCCAGTAAAAGAATTTACATTCGAAAACTAATTAGTAAAAGCAAAAATCGTTAATCAAGATGGCTTTTATCTGAATACCTAATTAGGTTTCATATGCAAAGATTTTTCAACATGTTGCACAAACTTTCAAGCAAACAAAAAACTGTGGCATATTGAGAAAATCAGTTCATACATGAAACCACACAGAAAAGCAATAGGTAAGCTAACAGAATTACAAGTTAGACAAGAATCCAGGTTGAATGAACATAAAAGGGGTGAAGCTAAGCTGAATACTTAAAAATCAGCACAAGTATAAATCCTTTCCAAAGAATATAGATTGAAAATTCATTTCCACCCTCAACCAAAATTCATCATCACTTTATTTACCACTATCATTATGAGATGTTTAATTGAATGAGCATTTGCAATCCTATGAAACAATTCCAATTTTGGAACACCTTCCCATCATTTTGCAGCCTAGTAGGGTTAAATGGATGACATCCTTTTCCAGTTTAAGAACATTTGGAATAATCCCCATTATTTCCTTGCATTAGTGAATAAACTGTGAGAAGTTTTTTGGATCGGGGGATAAGAAGGCCTTAAATTTGTGCTATTAAGTACAGGGTTAGAGTTTAGGGTAGGAGACAGATCAGAGATGTTGTGCAATTAATTACCATAGAAACCACCTTTTTCCATTGCTCTATTCACAGAGAGAAGTCCCTTATAGACAGTTTGTCAGAGATTTGGATTCATAGTGGGTTTCCTGCTATTATCTATCAGAATAAAAGTTGTTAATCAGTAAGATGGGTGCAAGTATGAACTCCACTTTCATTATCTTGAGCCTAAGATGGATTGATCTACTAAGATGAAGCATTATCAGCTCTGTGATGTCTGCTTACTAGTGTTTGCAAGTCCATTTACAAGGCTCTATCAGACAGGTTGAATGAAACGTTATCTCAAAACACCTCAACAATATTTGTGATTTTATTGTAGGCAAACCAATTTTTCATGTAGCTCTAGTAAGGAATAAGATGTTGGATACTGTTCAAAGTAGAAAATAATGAACTGAAGCCTTGATATGCGCAAAGATGCAACAGCTGCATCAGATGTTGATTCTGTAATGCCATAAATTTGAGGTAGATATGTACCCTTGATGGCACACTTTCTGGAAGCATGGATTTACACAAATGTGTTCATATAGTTGATGCATAAACGATGGATTGAGAAACCGCAGACTAGAAAGAATCAATCAATACCTCAAGTAAATGTTTGCAGCATTCCTCTGATAAATTGGGTAGTAGACGAGATAGCAGTTCTTGTTGCCTTGCTCCAGTAAAAATTTTCTGCCCATAAATGCATTTTCTGCTTCTCATTTTCCTACATTCTGACCACTTACGATATTTCTCAGACCTGTAAAATTTTCCATAATAGAATGACAATATGTCCCTCATCTTCTTATTGCCCATAAATCTTTTCACTTGAACCAGATTCTTCCCAAATATATACAAGCTGAGAATGAACCTGGCCTCTTCTTTTTCATTCCAGGTGTCACATGAAGACCCAGGAACGAGACAGAAGCCTTTGCCTTTATTTTTCGCATGCACCTCAATCATTGTTTCCTGCTGCATATTGAAATTCGTAGATTCTTCCATGTTGGTCCTATTGACCGACAAATTGTCAACGTCCTCATGTTTAGAATTTGATTCATTAGAATCTGAAGAATTAGGGCCCTTTTTGTTGCATTTTGCTTTTGAAAACTCAAATTTATTAGCAATTCCACCTGATTTGCAAGCATCTTCCAGTGGCTTGTGCCTTTTATTCCCTACCCCCATATCAATCCAAGTTATTGGTATAGCCAACCCGACTGAAAAATCATGGGGAGTAGCTGCAGTGCTCTCCACATCATTTACGTTCTTTTGTAACCAGCGATAATCAGATTGTGACATTAAAGGTGGGATTTCAACCTGGTACTGTTCACCCACCCGAGGAAATATGTCCTGATCGATATAAGAATCAGAAGCATCAGAACCTTCTGGCGAAAGTGATTGCTCATCTGTGTGCTCCTCAATGCCATTCACAAGGTCATTAACTTGAACTGCGTCCACCTAGAAGGAAATTAACAAATTTAGAGAAAGCATCATAAAGATATAATTCTTCTCATTGCCGTCGAGAAATTACCAGGAAAGTTTGATTTAAGACTGAAAGAGTTTGCCTTTTTCTTTCTGTAAACAACACTCTCACTAGACAGTGCAGGAATGTTTTCATTATGACCTAACAAAGGAAAACAAATAGGAAAGGAACCCCACTTTGTCAAGTTATCAACTATCCTCGTTTTTTCCAGTTCTAAGTAAATACTGTTATTTTCCCAAGCAAATGCCAACCCCAGAGCTTCAAAGACACCAAAAACTTTTCACTTCCTTAAAGCTTCATTTCAAAGTCAAAAGAGAACCGAAAGTACTTCCATCAGTCAATCTAAATTGTACACTAAGACAGGCCACAAATTTACAAAAGCGATCTGATGCTTTCAGCTAGCGATGGTGTTTTAACAAAACGGTCCAGTAGCATTTGGTTTATTAACATTCCAAGACCGTCTGATGCACATCATCACATTATTTATCCCAGTTATTTCAAGTTTCAATCAGATAAAACCAGAGAAAATTAAACTAACAATAAAATGGAAAGAAATGGTCAGATTTACAGAAACTAGAAAATCAATAAGTATAATTGGTACCCACCTTATGATGATCATTTATATTTCGCCAAAAAATTAAAAAAGGACTGTATACCTACTCCCGAAACTACAAAGGTCCCGAGTTAAATAACTGGTACAAAAAAGGGAATTGAATGAACTTATCGCGAGCAGATTTTCCAAGTTTATCATGTTAACCTCACAAGAACAAAATCGAATATGTCAAGTTCAGATATTTCTGGAAAGTAAGTAGCACCCGACAGAAGAAAAAGCAAACCCAGAACGAAGTAACGAACCAGATCCACTGCCTAACCCGAAATATATAAAACGAGAGCTACCCGACATCCAAAGTCTCGAACTTCACACAAATGCATGAAACCCATCGATCACATTACTCTCGAAAGCCAAAAGCAATACAAACTCGACGAAAGAAGCGCGATACGAAGCTCAAACCCGAGCAGAATAACAAAGAAAATAAGAAAAATACGAGAAAAATATTCACAGAGGAAAATACAAGCACCGAGAAACAGACAAGAACAGCCAACAGTTCCCCAGAGAGAATTCCAATATGATCCAAGAAAATTCAAGCCACAAAACGGAAAACGAAGTAGGAGAACGCATTGACGAGTACAACAAAATCGTTCAGGAATTAAGCAAAGCACAACGCAGGTAAAAGAAAAGGAAAATAAAAAAGATTCTCACAGTACCTCCATGGTAGAAGAAGAACCAACCCAGACCCACGTGAAGAAGGAAGCCTGAGAAAATGGGTCGTCATGGTTACACACCGATTGGCAAGTTAGAGATTAGAGAAAACAAGGAAAAAAGTGAATATATAGAGTTGAGGGGAAGGAAAACACAGAGACATAGAAACTACTATACACATATAACACCCAGAGAGATAGATTGAAACAGAGAGGGAGTGGTACCTGCGTTTAAGGAAGGAGAGCTTTCATGGCTACGAAGACTGAATTGGAGGAGACTGTATTGAAGGGGTCGAGAGAACGAGAGAGAGAGAGAGAGAAGAAAAAATAGAAAGTGAAAAACCAAAGTCGTTCTCTCGCTATAGAGAGAGAGAGGCAATACAATACTCTTAATATATGCTAAGTTTTTTGAGAGAGGAAAGGATTGTGATGTGGTCCGCTCGGGGTCATGGAAATACAAACCCACGCCCACTTGGCGCGTGCATGAACGTACTACACGTGGCTTGCGAGATTCTCCTTTTTTTCCCCCCTTCCTCTCTTCCTATAGAGCAAAGTCTGCGAGATCCTGGTTTCATTAATTTCGGTGTGAGCATCCAGCTTCCTTTCACTGTTTGTGATAATAGCTGCTTGGTATTATCATTACAGGGTAAAATTACTTATAAAATTACGTGACTTTTTAAATTTAATCTTCACTCAAAGTGACGACTACAATGAAATGCTCTTTCAGAACCAAAAGCATGTCAATACATATTTACTTTGTCCGTTTTTTAATATAAAACCTAACTATAAAATTGATATCGCTCATATATATATATAACATATTTTACGTATTTATCAATTTTTTTAAATTAACCCTATTAATATTTTTTAATAATAATCAAATAAAAAAAAGAGCAAGAATTAAGAAAGATGATTAGGGTGTTTAAAAAAAATATTGTATTAACTAATTTAACTAATATTCTTAATCTACTTAAATTAGTTAACTAGGTCTTACAATAAAAACGAGCATATGTCAACAGCTTATTGTAATTATGAAGTAAAAAAGAAAGGTATATTGTTGAATATCTCAAAAAAGATTTGCACATATATGTGTGTGTGTCTAAATTTAACAGAATAAGATTACACGATCTTCTTTTATAGATGGAAGTAGAATTTTCTTAGATTGGAATGAAATCAGATTTAAGTATTATAATGTGAGAATAAAGATACTGATAATTTATGGAATAATTTTTATTAAAATAAGTATGTCAAAAGACAATGATGATATATTAAACAAAAACAAAAACAAAAAGAAAGAAACATATTGCAATAATCAGCACGGAACTGTAACATCATTTAGTGCACATGAAATTCAAAGATTAATCAAAATAAAATGCTGTGAAGTAAGTATCATCTAATTGGCAAATACGTGACATGTATATTTAGCTCATCAAGACTTACTAAATGGGAATTTTGCTGCCAATGCAAGGAACTTTTCTTTTATATAGATAATAGATAGTCTTATTATAAAACTTTAAATTATGTGCAGTTATATTATGTTAAATTTTATAGGCAAAATAACAGACAAATTAATAGTAATTAAGTTATTGCATGCATTAAGGAGTTAAGCAATAAGGAAACCATGAATAATTAGGACTGAAAAGCGTATGATTATCTATGATTGGAGCTTTACTTTTGATAATATATTTAGAAAAGCTACGAATTAACTTATGTATTATTACTATACTATTTAAATAGTTTACTTATCAAACTTATCACATGAAAACATATTTTAAATCATTAAATCAATATTGGTATACCTTTTTTATGTATAGATGTTTGATTTAGCTAATTTACGCTGTACGAAGTTTATTTCATAAAATGCAAAAGTGTTTTTAGGTAGGAATTAAATGAGTACGTAGCGCTGTATACTCAATTTTTTTCCCATAAAACGAACACTTAATTAATTCTATTGTATCGATATGATATATTGTGTTACTTCCAAGATCAGTTAAAATTAATTAATCAAAATACATTGCCCTAACAACGCAATGAAAAATATAATTTTTAAAATAATATAATACTCTCTTCGTCTCTTATTATAAGATATAATTATCAATATCATATAGTTCAAAATATTAGTTTAATTTAGTTTTTTTCCAACATTACTTAAATCTAATTAAAAATAATAAATATGTAAGATATATACGTATTTTTCAACCATATCCTTGTTTATGAAAAGAGTAGATAAGAAGTAATAAATGAAAGTTTATTCTAGATAGATAATGAATGATATACATTTAACGAGAATAAAAATGAAAAGACTAATTTAAAATTTTATGCAGAAAAAATTTATTTATTATGTTAAAGAACACAAGAGATGGAGCACATGCTTAGGCGCGTGTATAAGTAGGCGTTAATACAAACTATAAAACAAAACGTAACGCAATAAAATGTGGGATTTTTTTTTCCCAAAAAAATACAGTTTTCACAGAACATAATACCCATGAAAATTATGACCTTACATTAAAAATATAGAAAAGAAAAATCCAAATCCAGTCATGATGATATGATATTTGTATGTGTGCGCGCCACTTTTCGTAAGTATATTGGGCCATAATCATAGATCATACTACCTTCTGTACTTATTATAAGACCCCGTTTAACTTTTTATTTGGTCCTAATTATAAGACCCCAATTCATTTTGTCTCTCATATTTATGTATTTTTTCCAAGATAATCCTTCTAATAATGATAGTCCTAGCCAATATACTTAATTAGCAAGGATATTTTAGGAATGACAACACTTATTTATTACAAATAACTAACTTAACCTACTTCCTTAATCTCCTCAAATAAATTAACTGGATCTTATAATTAGGACCGGAGGTATTACGTAAGACTAGCGTACCCTTGTTACGAGAATGTGCTTCTAGAACCTGGTTAAGTGTCAGTTTTTCATTTTCGCTTAATCTTTTAAGTAAGCGGTTAGGAAAAGCAACAACTAAATATACACTACAGGGAATTACCGGTGGTTTCAATACTATGAATGGTGCTAAAGATCATCATTGCCAGACTTATTACATGTACATACCATGCATACGTGTGTTTGTGTATAAATATGGTTAGGGTTAATGATACTCCTCCGGTCCTTAATATAAGACCCATTTAACTAATTTGATTAAATTAAAGAAGTTAGGTAAATTAGTTAATTATAAGAAATGTGACATGTTTTTTCTAAAACACTATAATCATCTTTCTTAATACCCCGTCTCTCTCTTCTACTTGATTATGGTTGAGGGAGTATCTATAGAGGTAATTTAGAAAAAATTGATAAATATAAGAAATGGGTCTTATATTTAGGACCAAAACCAACTCAATAATTGAGTCTTATATTAAGAACCGGGGGAGTATAAATTTGTCTCGAAAATTTTTGTTTAGGAGTAATGCTTCCGAATTTTTTTTTCGTTTTGTGTTCACTAACACTGCTTCAAAAGTTTCACAACGTCGTAATATTGCCCCCAATCCGTTAAAAAACACGTAATTAAACAAGGTAATCACAGAACAAACAAACTACATCCCCATACTAATAGTTTCAGCACAAACACACACAGCTTATTTGAACACACTTGCATGGCATGTACAAAGATTCCAAACAAAGCACAATTCCCCACATTTAGCGAGGAAAAAAAATGCCAAGTGATATTAATTATCACGAGTTGATAGGGCTAGAAATAGTAGTAATTACTTCTCCGCTTCTTAATATAAGACCCATTTAACTAATCTGATTAAATTAAGAAAGTTAGATAAATTAGTTAATTGTAAGAAAAGTAACACATTTTTCCTAAAATACTATAATCATCTTTCTTAATACCCCATCTCCCTCTTCTACTTGATTATGGTTGAGGGAGTATCCATAGGGGTAGTTTAAAAAAAAATGATAAACATGAGAAATGAGTCTTATATTTAAGACTAAAATCAACTCAAAAATTGAGTTCTATATTAAAAACTGGAAGAGTATTTTCTAGTTATTGTATTTCGTGTAGCTATGATCCTGTCCTTTATTAGTTTTAGTATCCTTATGCATTAGTTGTCTTTATTTCTACCTGGGCCATATTTATACACATGGACCGCAACCGCTGGCTATTAACATGGGAAAAAAAAAGAGAGATGACTAGCAGAAGAGACTAACTCCTTATATGGTAAATTAAGGTTTGAATTTTTGTTTAAAAAAAGTATCCACATTTAGTGTCTAGTAATGTTTCAAATAAAATTACTTTCAATAAAAAAAAAATACACATGCTTAGTAAACAACAATGTGAAAAAAGTATTACTGGAGAATTAATCAAAGAATTGGATTTAATTCTAAATATTACTACCTCCGGTCCTTAATATAAGATCTCATTTGATTTTTATTTTGGTCCTGAATATAAAACTCTAATCCACTTTGTCTCTAATATATATGCATTTTTCTCAAAGTAGTTCTTCTAATAATAGTAATTCTAGCTAACACGTTTGATTAACAATGATATTTTAGAAAAGATAACACCTATTGATTATAAATAATTAACTTAATTTATTTTTTTAATCTTCTAAAATTACTCAACTAACTTTTATAATTAGGACTGGAGGTAGTAATCTATTTTAAATTAGTTAAGTAACAATATAAAAAAAAAGTAATATATTTGTTTTTTTTTATTGCCTAAAGTAGCCATAAAATAGAATGCACACAGTTCCGAATGTGAGTGTAACTAACGAAATGTGTCCACATGACACTAAAACAGATGCGTTTAACCAGAAATGGACATGTTGGAATGCTTCAATGGCCCCTTGGGGATTCTGATTTTAATTTTATTATCTTCATTCACATCCTTAAGTTTAGATTCCCTAAAGCTACAGTGTCATGAAATTACTAGACGATGGCCGTTGGATGTAATGGACGAAACAAATCATGCCACGTACTTGGCTTCCCGGGCTGGCCCCAAGATTAATTAACTCGGGCAAAAATGAAAAAACATACTACTTTCTTGTGCTTAATATAAAAATTAATTTAATTTTTAATATAAAATTTTAATTTATTTTGTTTTTTTAAAATATTCTTTGTAATAGTTATATATATTAAATAGATAATTAAATAATAGTTTTAACTAATATATATAATTAGTAAGAATATTATAAGAAACAAACACCTTATTATTCTAAATAACTAATTTAACAATTTTTTTTAAATTTATTTAAATTAATTAACTAATTTTTATATTAAGTGCTAAAAATAGTATTTTGTTGATTGGACTGACGGCTGCATATTGTTTGTTCATAAGATCCAACGACTGACATATATTTACTTCAGTACCCTTCTCATCATTGCGATTTAAGGGGCTTTTTCCGAATCATGGTGCTTGCTTCCCATTTAAACTGACTTGTTACGAAATACTCGTACTAATAAAATATATTTATAAGTTATTTCAAACATTAATATAATACTTCTGTCAATATAAAAATTCCTAAAAAAATCACGTTAATTAAAAAAAATGACACTATCAACATAGTTTTAACAATCATTTGGGTTGATATCGACAAAAGTCACGCTTATCCGCAAATTAAAATTAGAATAAAGGTTAATTAAATAGATTTAATTGAGCTTTTTATTAAAAAATCTGGTATGTCTATATAACAAAAAACACATTTTTAATATGTCATATTTGATATTAGTGAGTCAAATTTAAGCATAACTAGACCCAATTAAAGTAACTATCACAGCATAATTTTTTCAATGCTTGACTTCGTCTTAAAAGAATCCAGTTCTTTCCACTTACTCAATTTCACAAAATTCTTACAATTAAAAGAATTTTTTATGATATATAATTAAAGCATAAGTTATATTATTCATAAATACAAATAGTAAAGGATTCCATTCTTCATATCAAATCTCAATGTTGATGTAAAAATTATTCAAATATTAATGATTAATTACCATGGATTCCAATTCACTGTACTATGTTGATTTGATTTTTTCCGAAATTACATGTAGATATTTAAAGACTAATAAGTAATAACAGCGGCAAAATATGAAAAAGACAGCACCCTGCTAAATAGGGGGGGGGGGAAATCACTGAGTCGAAAACGACTTTGAAATTTACCATTATTACTATCATTATCGAAACGACTCTGATTTCATTAATTTATGAAATATAAAATATAAGAATTTAAGCAGCGATAACCATTTTTTTAACCTAAGATTCTAGTATGCCCATGGCCCAGTCTAATCTGTCTTATTACAATGAAGTTATACTATGGAATTGCATTAAAATAAACAAGGCATAAATTTTAACGTACTCAAATTCTGGGTATAATTACCAACACGTATGCAAGTCATCGCATTAGAAGTTGTTTAGATGAAAATTAAATTATGGTTTTAAAAATACTTTCATGGTATACCAAGTAAATATGTGGAGGAATCTGTTTTGCAAAAATGTGCTTTTGAAAAGTATTTTTCTATCTTGTCAAGCACCCTCTTAATATTTTTTGACCAGACAACATATTAACATTAAAATATAACATAAACAGAAGAGAAAATAAAAAAAAAAAAGACAGTAAAAATTGCAAATAGGTATTTTGTTAAAAATTTGTTATCATCTGCTATTTGATTGTTGTCAATACCTATATAAATCTTGTAACAGGCCCTAATTTATAATTTTGCAAGTTTCACTTTTTTTTAACCTATTTTTCCCAAAAAGAAGTGCATTAAGATTAGTGGCTAAAAAAATTATACGATTTTTACGAAATACAAGAGGGCTATGAAGTTTTTAAAAAAAAAACACACAAAAGAATGCATTTTATTGATGGAATCACCAGCACACAAAGGCTACGAAGTTTTAGATTCATTTATCGCAAATATTTTTTAAAAATTGATACTAAATATAAGACTCATTTATTATATTTATCAATTTTCTTTAAATTACTCCTATGGATACTCCCTCAACCATAATCTAGTAGAAAAGGGAGAGGAGATACTAAGAAAGATGATTATGGTATTTTAGAAAAAACGTATCACATTTTTTGTAATTAACTAACTTATCTAACTTCTTTAATCTAAAAAAATTAGTTAAATAGATCTTATATTAAGGATCGGAGGAGTACTTTTTAAAAATTGGGATTCTTGTTGTAGCTATACGCTATCTTCCTTTGAATCTACATATAAGATATCGTTAACTAATTTATAAAAATTAAAAAACTAATTAAATTAATTATTTGAATTTATTATGTAAAATTGTGTGGAACTTTTTCAGAGATATTAATGAGGGTAAAATAAGAAAAATGAAATGAGAAAAAAAGATGGATTAAGATAAAACATTATCTATTAATTAGATTTTATATTTAGAACGGGAAAAATAAGATTGAACGGTAAATAAGAAAAAAGTAACGTGGAATATTATAATTACCACGTCGGAGAAAAGTGAAATGGCAGAGGCCGTAGAAAATAAAAATTCGAGAGCCAGCGTCGCCGAGAATTGGGTTGGCCCACGCTCCAATGTAGCGCGTATAAACAACGGTCTCATAAAGCTGGGCACGGAAATGACCAAATTAACCAGCGGATTTGCTAAGGAAACAAACTGTACGGATAAACTATATAATAAATATAAATAATATAAAAAAAATGTCACATAGGATACAGGATTATTTTAATATATTAATCATTGTAACCCTTAAAAATAATATGTTATCATCAATTGGCTCAAAAGTGGAGGACCCAAGATTTGTGTGGATTTTAAACTTAGTCAACTAGTTATAAAGTATTAATTTTACTCAATATTAATGTTACATTAGTTATTTTAATGCATAAACCTTATATTTCGAGCATCCATCTATTTTTGGGCTTGGAATTGATCTGAATTTTTCGAAACCTAAAATAGTTCCAAATAGTCAGTGATTTGCTTAAAATAAATAAACTCATAATTTTTTAAATAAAGATGTATCAAATTAAACCCATCTCTTGACCTATACTAATATTTTAGTTTTACGTTAAAGGGCATTGAGAATTATCAGTTACCTAAAATATTTATTAAAACAATGGTTACTATTAATTTCAAATTGATTTCATGTTAAGTTCTTCTTTTTTGGGGCCGGTACTTGAAAAGGTGGCTGTGACTGTGGTTGACTGGTACTTTTATTTAAGGTAGTAAGTCGTAATTTTTGTGAAGTGGTTCCAACAACAAAAATGCTTTTTTTTTTAACTGTTTGTTAAATTTGATTACTATTCCCGATTCTAAATTTAAGAGTTAGTTAATTAATTTAAATAAATTAAAAAAATAAGTTAAGTTATTTATTTATCATAAATGTGTGTTGTTTTTCTTAAAATATATTTGTTAATTAAGTATATTTATTAGAACTACTATTATTATAATTATTATCTTAAGAAAAAAACACATAAATATCATAGACAAAATAGATTGGGGTTTTACATTTAGAACCAAAACAAAAATCAAATAAGATCTTATATTGAGGATCGGGTATTATATATTTTAATTAGAAGTAGTATTTTTCAAACGTTATTTATATTTACAGTGAAGTCTTTTTTAAAAAAATATTATGCAAAATGTTGAGTTGATTTTTCTCTACCTAATTAACAATTTTATACCGACTTCGGTGTGGCTGCTAGCTTTATTTGTACTTTTTTTTCAATTAATGTTGTTGAGAGTAACGCCGTGCCACCGAAAATTTTAATTTTTGAGTGTTTAAAATGCTTATTTGTACTTTTTCCAATTAAACATATTACTGTTTCTGATCCTTAATATAACTATATGTGTGTCTTTCAATTTGATCTTATATTTAAGATCATAATTTATTTTATTTCTCATATTCATCTAATTTTTTGAAGATAATTGTTATAATAATTACACATGTTACATATTTTATCAAATGACACTTGTTAGTAAGGATATTTTAGGAAGACAATATTTATTTATTACAAATAACTAACTTAATCTATTTAAATTAGTTAACCAACTCTTATATTAAAAATTGAAGATAGCACTTATTTGCATGAATCAGAATATGATCGTTCTTGTGCTACATCCAATACACATCGAAGTCAAATATATATATATATATATATATTCTGTGTATCATATTCACATAATTTATAAACATTTCTTAGATAAAAAACTTAACAGATTAATATCACTACATTAAACTTTTAATTCCAAGTCGTATAGCTTGTTTGGTTACATGATATATTTTTATTGTTTAAAGTATGGATACAATCTTTTCATATAACAAATTACCTTTCATTTTATTTTATTTAACGTCCTCACTTTTAAACCCATATTTTCTGCAATACTGTATAACGATGACGAACAAAAAAAAAAATCCACATCATTTTCAAGTTTAACCTCATCTATCTTTTTTTGTTTTTTTAAAACAAAGTCGTTATGGAAGTTATGGTTATGGAGAAATGGATTGGATAAGAGAGCAGAAGAGAGAGCCCATTCTCAGCTGATAGGCCTCCTCATATAGTGCAGTACCCTCCTCATAGGCCCATTCCACTCATTCATTGATGATTTACCTAAGCTTCCTTATCAATTTCCCAAAAGAAAAGAAAAAATCCTCTCACTGCCAATTCAGCAAACTGTTTAATCACGCGAGGCTTCCACTGCCAACGGGCAACATTTGGCGCTTGAGAGGCTCAAATCTTGCTTCGTCTCTTTCACCGATTCAGGCTCATCAGTTGTCGCTGTAAGATCCCTCATCGTACCGCTCAAATCTGAAGCTCATGTATAATTTCCAACGCTTCAAATCCACTCTGTGCCTGAGCGGTACTGTTAGAAAATCACCAACCTCACGATGTTTTCGTCTTTCGCAACACTACCCATTGCCGGCCTTCTCTCTCGGATTCGGCACAATTGCTTCTCCAGGTGACCACTCGTTTACTGTATCATACCTCGTTAACAATTTAGGGTTTTCCCAAGAAGCTGCTTTAAATGCTTCCAAGAGAGTTCGATTTGACACCTCACAAAAGCCAGATGCAGTTGTCAGCTTCTTTGAAAGCCAAGGTTTCTCCAAGTCTATGATGAAAGATGTCCTTAGAAAGAATCAGTGGCTTCTTAATTGCGATCCCCAAAACAGGATTCTGCCCAAGTTCGAGTTTTTCCTCTCAAAAGGTGCTTCTGCCTCCGACATTGTCCTCATGGTCCAAAGGAATGCGAGATTCCTGGAGAGAAGCTTGACTAATCACATAATCCCATCATATGAATTGCTAAAAGAGTTCCTTCAAGATGACAAAACCACCATTGACTGTATAAAACGCTACTCGGCTGTGCTCCATGGTTCTCGAGTGATGCATAGTATCAATATGTTGCTTAAGAAGGGGGTGTCAGGGGCGAACATTGCTATCATACTACATGAAACGCCTCGTGTGCTAAACTTTACAAATGAACTTGAAAGAGCGGTGGAAGAACTTAAGAGTTTGGGATTTAATCCTTCCGCCACAACATTCGGCGCAGGATTGACGGCCAAAGTGGGTTTAAGCAAATCCAAATGGGAAGCCAAGGTTGAAGTCTATAAGAGGTGGGGATGGTCAGAAGAAGCGGTGTTGAAAGCATTTAGGACGGATCCGCGCTGTATGTTAGCAGGCAAGGATAAGATTAATGCGGTGATGAGTTTTTGGGTTAACCAGTTGGGCTGGAATTCTTTGCTCCTTCTCAAAAGACCAACATTCATTGGGTTTAGCTTGAAGAAAAGGATTATTCCTAGGGCTTCTGTTCTACAGTTTCTTTACTCAAAAGGTTTGGTGAAGAAGAATGCAAGCGTAGTCAGGCCATTTGTTCTTCCTGAAAAGCAGTTCCTGGAAAGATATGTGAAATGTTTTAAGGAGCACGATCATAAGTTAATAAAGCTATATGAAGAAAATATGAAGGATGCTGACATGTCATGCTCATGAAAGTTTTAATCTCAATTCTTCCTGCTAGTCTGCCTCATTCTGTGCCTCCTCATTAAAGTACTTGTTTTCCCATGTTTAAATTTGGAAATTTAGTGAACTGCCTCATTTCCTAACTTGGACGTCTTTTGTTGGTTTTATCGTCAGTACTAGCTAGCCCCGGTTCTGATGTATATCAATATTTAGAATATCTCATGCTTTACCAATGGTTGAAGGAGGCATAGAAAGGTGTTTTGGTTGCAAAGTACTGTTGTTTTAATTTATTTATATTTTTAACTCGTGTTATTTGAATTCTTGAGTCATCTTGCGCCCATGAATTCTGTGTTCTCCAGGAGTTGCTTGAGCCGCCTGCAACTTTAACTATATAGTATTTTCTATCAGACTTTTAATATTGTTCTGCTAGATAGGGTTATTTGGCGACATTACGGTGCCTAGATTGTCATAGTAAATTACAGGGCGTTGCATTCAATGTTGGACACTACTTCATGCATCAGTGTTTATAACCAGATGACTATCTCAGGCGTGGATTGTCACACATTGTAAAGCTTCCAGTATAAGATCTATAAAGTTGAGGATCAACCGTCACATTATGGTGCTACCTTGACAGCTTTGAACCACTACTCATTGAGGTAACAAGTCTTTTAAGTTCTCCGTCTTTTTACCTTGGCATGTAAATCAGAAAAATACTCGACTCTGAGATAGAAGCATTCTACCATATTCCCAGCTCTTGTTCTATGCTTAGAAAATAATGCAGCTTGCCCAAATCCTTCACTGCAAAATTTGTGTACAATTGTTTATTCAATATGTCAAGTCAACACAGTTCTCTGATGATGGCTTGTTTGACAACAAAAGAGTGTCTTGAAGTCAAATTCTTATGGTTGATGAAAGCCTTTGGCTATTGTCGTGTTCTGTACTTGTTGAAAGTCCATTTCTGAGTTCTCTTTAACACCATGGATCGGCCATTTAGAACTCATGGCTTGTGTTTTCTGAGTTAGTGGTTCAAGGTGCAAGTCTAATTCTTGGTGAGACTCCTTTATTGTCTTTGTAAAAACCTATTTGATTTGGTTTATTCGGTTGCGTGAAGTGACGTGACTGTTACAGGGAGGGATTAGCACGAGGAAGAAACTGATGGACCTTCATGAGGGCGGCCTGAGCACCTCTTATTACTGTCATGGATATGGGAGGAGTCACGGCTGAATACATTTTTTGATTAAGTAAAAACAATTAATTATCAATGAATATATTATACAACAAAAAATTGAATGAGAAGTGCTATTATTTTTCATTGATATGCCTGTTGATTTATTTTTATTTCAAACAACTAATTATTGATTTGTATTGTTTTTTAATTGAGAAAATAAATTTTTGGTTCAGTTTTGATTTAGTTATGATCCAATGACTCATTGCAAGTTTATGCTGTTTAATCCATTAGTCTTTATATTTTTTTAACTTGTCAAAATCAATCTTTGAAAGATTAGATGGTTTTTTGAAGATATGAGGATAAAATAATTTTTTAAAAAAAATCAAAAGTTGATGGATTGAATTGGATGAATTAAAGTTAAAAGTGAATGAAATTATATAGATTAAAAAAATTAGTGAAATTTGTAAAATGTAAAGAAAATTACTAGCTTACTTAGAAAAAATATTTGAAAAATATTGGATTAATATTTATTCTTATTTTGGTTTTTGGTTTTGGTCATTTGAAGAGTAAAATAATTTAAATTTTTATTAAATTATAGAGATCAATTTTTTAGAAGAAAAGAAATTTGAGTGATCAAAATTTATAGTTTGAAACTTGAAAAATAAAATAAAAATGAGGGTAAATTTGAAAAATAAAAAAATTATTTTAACAAATAATATTTTAAGTATTTTAAATTTAATAAATCAATAATCAAATAAAATGTAAACTCTGGTTCAATTAGAGCCTGTCGGTCCGAAATAGGCTTCGTTTGGATTGCCGTCACAAATGCTAAAAGGCCCTAGGAAATTGTGAAACCAAGGTTTGCAACTGAACTAAAGAGAAATGGTTGTTTGGCTGGGACAATTGACGCAGCCAACTTTTGAGGTAAACGGTAAACGCTAGAACGTTGAGCAGAGCTACTTTTGGAGCATTGAAACTGAGATCTACCGTTATGGAGCATTAATTGGATCATAAAAATATGACCTACCAGTATTAACCCTCCCTACATTTCCCCTCCCCCGAATCCACCTTCACTTTCATTTCAGGTCACTCCTTCTGTAGAGCTCACTACAGTCCCCAGGCTTTCATCTTCACTGTCACTGGCTCTCCCTCCGTCCCTCCGTCCCTCCCGCCGGCACTTCTCTGTCCATGACTGTCGCCGGTGCTTCTCCCTCCTTCACTCTCTCCATTTTCTCCAACACCGACCGCCGAGCATTCTCCCTTGCTCTTCTCTCTCACGCTCTCCCATTTTCTTCTTCCATTTCAGTGGTCCTTCGGTTGTTTGACCGAGCTCGCAATTTTGTTCGTCGTTGGATGTGCCAGAGATTAGCCGGAGTCGATTTGCTGCAAATCGGTGTGGTCTTCTCCCAGATCTTCAATTCATCCTTAGTGAGTTGGTTTCACCAGATCTGTTGAGCTTTACCGTGCTTCATCGATGTGTAGCTTGTGCTTCCCGTAGATCCAGCCATCTCTGCTCCATTTGATTTCTGCTTTCACTCGATTTACCGTAGCTACCTCAACTTGGACGCAAGTCTTCAACTCTGTTCTGCTCCACTCGATTTACCGTGTCCATTGAAGTCGGCACTTCTCCCTCCATCACTCTCTTCTGCTTGGGGCTGTTTGAAGGTCTTCAACTCGCAGCTTCAACTCGCAGGTAAGGTCACCGTGTGTGATGCATATATATACATATATATATTTGAGATGGACTGATATTTGGTATAGAAACTCTTGCCATATTTGAGTTTGATTGTTATTCTATTTTTCTTTTAGATACATTGTGAAAGAAGAGGGCAAGTTTTGTGCCTCTCATTGCTATTGCTTCTGTCCGTTTAGCTTCACTCTCCTTCGAACTCGTCTGCTCCTCTGATAGTGGTTTGTGGTTTTAATTCTCTTGTAGTATCTGATGAATTTGCTAATTTTTGTGTCCTGTTGTTTGTGATGAATTTGCCATTTTTGATCTTGCATGTTGTTTGTGATGAATTTGCTTCACTCTCCTTCAATTTGGTGCTACTGCTTCTCTGGTTTGCCTATGTTGTTTGACTTCTGCTTCACTCGAAATGTGCTAGGAGCCATTCTAGGAATATAATCAATCTTGAATGTCAGACTTGTGCCTGGGGGTTTAACTTCGAATTTGTTTTCCTTTTTCAAAATATAAAATAGTTTTTTTTTAATTTGTTTTAGCATGTTGTAAACTCTATTATTTTCAATATATCATTCTTAAGAATACGTGGGACTTATTATTTAAGGATTTCATTTAGAATTTTGTGATCTCGGTGAAGAAGGATGTGGTTGGGCTGCCCTATGGCGTATAAAGTAGATAAGATATATAAACATTATTAGTTTAAAAATGTATTGATTGATTGCTTCTAAACAGAAAGTTTAAGCAGACACTATTAATTGTGGGTTTATTCCTGTATGCTATTGCTTGATTCTAAACTTATTGTGGATTTGATACATTTTTAATTTCATCAAGCAAAATGAGTAACGATAAAGGCAAAGCACATTGGGATGTAAGCACTACTGGTGTTTTTCTCAAAATATGCATGGACACAATTTATAGTAAACATCATCAAGGATCCTCGTTTACAAAGCAAGGCTGGGACAACATTCACAAAACATTCAATGAAAAGATAGGGAGAGGATATGAGAAAAGACAGCTGAAAAATAGGTTGGATAACTTGAGAAAAGAGTGGAAGGCATTTGAGCAACTAATTGGTAAGGAGACCAGTATAGGGTGGGACCCTGAAAGGAACACAATGGTGGCATCTGATGAGTGGTGGGAGAGAAAGAAGCGGGTATGAATTAGCTTCTGTTAATTTTTAAGTAGTTAGTGACTTTTGAAAATAATTTAACTTTTGTTTACTTTTGGATTTGCAGGAAAATCTAGCATACGAAAAGTTTATGCAGCATGGGTTAAAATTCCGAACTGAATTGGAAACTCTATTCAAGGGCACTATGGCATCAGGACAAGATATGTGGTCACCTTCTTCGACCCAGCCTGAGCCACAGAGGGCTGATCGGCCAAATGATTACCGACCCACAATGGATTGGGAAGAAGGTTCAGGGGACATTGAAGACGGGCTTTTAGGTGTTGACACTAGACGCGTGCAGGAGTTTCGGACGATTTGAACGGCATCAATTTAACTGCAAACACATCAAACACTGCACCCAGTATACCTATGGTTCAGAGAGCCAAGGAAAGAGGAAGAGAGGTGGAGGGTTGGATAAGTACAAGAAGCAAAAAATGCCAACGACAAAAAGAATAGCAAATGCAGTAAGCTCGATTGAGAAGGCTTCCATTAGTACAGTTGTGGCAATAAACAAAATCTCCAATAGTGATAACACTACTGAGCTGACCACTGATTTGCTGAGTATGAGGAAATTGTCAGTGACACTCATCTTTGTATCATGTGTTGTAATCTGCTGGCAAACAAGACTTTCAGGGACATATATGCTGGTCTGAGAGAAAATCGAGACGTATTAGTGGCTTGGTTGAAGCACAATGCTGAAAATCCACTGCCATATGCTGCACCTAAGAATCCTTGAGTTGTGCCAGGGGACTTGTTATGACTTCTATTTTTCTACCTTAATGTTGTATTATGTGTTATGTGTTATGACGATGTATTTAATGACTAGGTTTAATGTTGTGTTTCGTGACTATGTTTAATGACTAAGTTTAATATTGTGTGTTTCATGACTATGTTTAATTATTATGTTAAAGTTTAATGATAATTTGTGTATTATCTTTTCTTTTCTTTTTTGTGAAAATTTTACTTACATTTAGTATTTATCTATTCAAGGTAACACACATTTATTATGTCTGATTCAACGGAGGGTTGGGACGAGGGTTGGGAGGATGATGGGGGAGATGAATGGTCTCAATTAGTTCCTGCTTTACATGAACACACACACAATTATCAGAGCTAAGTGTGTTAATGGGTCAGTATATGACACTTTTTTCTGTGCAAACAACCATATAGAACTAGTGAACAAACTGGTTATTTGTGGGTTCAAGAACTTTTAGACGGGCATGAAGGACGGTCTAAGGATATGTTTCGAATGGAAATAGAGACATTCCATCCGTTATGTTCTAAATTGGTTGAACATGGGTTACAAAATACTAAGTACATAGGTGTCCATGAATCTGTTGTCATGTTCTTGAATACAATTGCGCATGGCCAGTGTAATAGGATGATTCAGGAAAGGTTTCAGCATTCAGGAGAAACTGTCAGTCTGCATTTTCATAAAGTGTTGGCTGCTTGCCTCAATTTATCTCGAGAAAATATCAGGCCAACTGATCCTACATTTTCCTCTTGTCACCCAAAAATAACAAATGATCCACGATACTTCCCATTTTTTAGGGATGCAGTTGGAGCAATTGATGGTACTCACATAAACTGTAAGGTTAGTCAAGCTAGGCAAGACAACTATATCAATAGGAAGGGATTTCCTAGTTAGAATGTCATGGCCGTATGTGATTAGAATATGTGCTTCACATTCGTATTGGGGCTGGAAAGGTAGTGCACATGATGCTCGTGTCTTTCATTCTGCTATCTCAACTCCATCCATGAATTTCCTCATCCACTCGAAGGTATATTTCTTTAATTTCCAAATTAATTATTTTTAAATTCAGCTTCACTTATATTATTTTCACCTCAACATAATTGAGTCATGATTTTTTAGAAAATATTATTGGTTGATGCTGGTTATCCATCACAAGTGGGATACCTTGGCCCGTACAGACGTGAGCGCTATCATCTCCCAGACTTTAATCGTCACCCAGGATTTACAAATCAGAATGAGGCCTTCAATTATTATCATTCAAGTTTGAGATCCACTATTGAAAGAACTGTTGGGGTGTGGAAGAATAGGTTTGCAATCTTAAAAATATGCCCAGATTCAAGTTTCAAACACAGGTCTGCATAGTTTGTGCAACAATGATTGTCCATAATTTTATCAGGCAAAATTCTCCAACTGATGACCGCTTTATAGAAGCTGAACATGGAAGTGTAATAGACGAAGACAATAATCATGCAGCTGGTGAGGCATCCTCGTCAAGTTTAACATCTGTCGCACAAATGAATCGTGTTCGTAACTCAATTAGAGACCAAATTGTGCAAAGCTTACTATCTAATTAGTTATGTGATTTCATTTACTTTAATTAGAGACCAAATGAATTTAATTTATATTCATGTTTGTCCATTATGTATATTTAATTAATTATTTATAACGTGTTTTTAATTTTTTCTCCGTAACGAATATTTTTATTTCATAATTTTACAAATAAACTATTTATATTTTATCATAATAATTATATATCCTCCGATCCTTATTATAAAAACCCCATTTGACTTTTTATTTGGTCCTAATTATAAGATCCCAATCCATTTTAATCTCTATATTTATGCATTTTTTCCAAGATAATCCTTCTAATAATGATAGTTTTAGCTATATACTTATTAGCAAAGAGTTTATTTTAGGAATGACCAACACTTAGTTATTATAAATAACCAACTTAACTTACTTCCTTAATCTTCTCAAATAAGTCAATTGGGTCTTATAATTAGGACGGAGAGTATATTAATTTTTAAACTATTATCACATTAAAAATATAAAATTCAAAAATTACATTCAATAAAAATCCATGCCTTTTTCAGTTATTTATAACTAAACTAACTTTTCTATTAATCATTTAAACAACTTTTAAGTTTCAATTGATTTTAAATAAAAAACACATATTCAAAAATTTTTCTAACTAATTTTGATTTCTAACTTCAATTATAAAAATCATTTAGAAATCAGTTGTACCCATCGACAATCGAAACATGGCCATAGACGTCAGCCCGTTCCGCCTTCGTTCCCGATAGCTTACTCTGACCTAGCTCTTGCAAGGATTGCGATAACTTTCAGGCTCTTTAGCAGCTCAAGCTCTTCAAAAATCACGGTAAGATCCCTCCTTCTGCCGTTCAAATCTGAAGCTCATGTCTAATTTCCAACGCCTGAAAGCCCTTTTGTGCGTGAAGGGTATTCTCAGAAAATCACCATCCCCACAATGCTTTCGTCTTTTGCAACGCTACCCATCACCAGCATTCTCTCTCAAATTCAGCACAGGGTCTTCTCCAGATAATCACTCGTTTACTGTATCATACCTCATTAACAGTTTAGGGTTCTCCCAAGAGGCTGCCTTAAATGCTTCCGAGAGAGTTCGATTCGAGACCTCAGTAAAGCCAGATTCAGTTGTCAGCTTCTTCAGAAGCCACGGCTTCTCTGAATCTCTCATACACGATCTCATTAGAAGGGATTTGTCACTTCTTCTATGCAATCCCTGCAATAAGATTCTTCCCAAGTTTGAATTTCTCCTCTCAAAAGGTGCTTCTACCTCCGACATCGTCCTTATGGTGCATAAGAGTCCGAGATTCCTAAAACGAAGCTTGTCCAATCACATAATCCCGTCATATGAACTACTATTAGGGTTTTTGCATACTGATGAAGCCACCATCGATTGTATAAAATGCTACCCAGATATTCTTTATGGCCCTCGGTTGATACAAAATATCGAGTTGCTGCTTAAGAATGGAGTGTCAAGAACCAACATTACTCTCATACTCAAAAGGAGGCCTCGTTCACTATCCCGCACAGATGATCTTGCAAAGATGGTGGAGGAAATTGAGTGTTTGGGGTTTGATCCTTCGAATTCAACATTTTATGTTGCGTTGTTAGCCAAAATATCTTTGGGCAAGTCCCACTGGGAAGCCAAAGTCGGCGTCTTCAAGAGATGGGGATGGTCAGAAGAAGCATGGTCAGAATCATTTCGGAGGCAACCGCACATTATGTTAACCTCCAAGGATAAAATTGATGCAATTTTGAGTTTTTTGAGTAACCATTTGGGTTGGGATCCTTTGATCCTTGCCAAAAAACCAAATTTATTGATATATAGCTTGAAGAGAAGGATCATCCCAAGGGCTGCAGTTTTAGATTATCTTCAGTCAGAAGGGTTGATAGAAAATAAAGCTGGCTTAACTGTGCCGTTTGAGATCCCTGAAAAGCAGTTCCTGGAAAGATTTGTGAAACGCTATGAGGAGCATAATTATCATCTGTTGAAGCTTTATGAAGAAAAAAAGGAATTATGATCAATGATGGAATGTTATGTGCATAAAATTTCAAAATTTTAATATTTTGTGATTCAGGCCCATTTCTTTTTCTCCTTCCCACTGAAGTATTCACCATGTTTAAATTGGGATTCAATTAATTTTACTGACTTGTTTCATGTTCTAAAGTAAACCTCTATTTGGGGGGGGGGGGGGCTTTTCATTCATTAATCCTGGCTATCCACGGTTTCATGCATATTAATATTTGTAATATCTTATTGTTTAGCATTGGTTGTTGTATACTTTCGTTAAAAATTGTTTCACTCGACCTCATGAGTAATGAACATTGCTTCCACGAATTCTAGCTCTTGCAGAAGCAATACTTTCTATGGGTTGGCAGGAGGTTGAATAACATTGTTTTGTATCTTTAGCAATTCCTCAGTTGAATGGGAATATCTCTTTGAACAAAAAGGTGTTCATATAACCAGAATTGTCAACGTTGTGAACTTTACTTGAAATGATCACAAGTTTAAGACATGTTGCTATGATGAGGGTGCAATATTCTCTTTTATTAAAATTCTAATCTTTCATCTCCACCGCTCCATAAATGACCTTGACTTCTCATGATCTGTTGGCGACCAATGTTCCGTTTAAACATGATTCCACTATTATTTTCTTTTCAGTGCAGGGAAGGAAAAATCATCTCGATGACAGAATTGAGCAGGAATAATGGGCTCCATTCTTCTGTTTTGCAGATTGGTAAAGTTTGAATTCCTCATAAAAGGATGATCTGATTTCAGTTTGCACAGTCATTTTGATTATGGTGCAGAATTTTGAACAACCCTCAAACCATTATAATTCTGCTATGACTGATTCTTCGCCTAATCTAGTTTATCTTTAAAATGTAGTCTTGGAATCTCCTAAACCTAGATGCAGAGATCTCGACATGCATACACTGATGAAGGGCTTCTTGTTTCTTACTGTATTTTGAAAAATTCAGATGTTTACTCTTCGATTTGGATTGTTATCGTTGATTGAACAAGCTGCCCAATCAGAGCCTGTTGCCACCTTGTAATAGATAATCTCACAAATGATTGATCTGCGAGGAAGTTGGAGCCTCTGGGTTTATACTCAGGCATTCCATGCTGCCCAATGTAAGATGCTATAGTACTATGATGACAACAAGTCTTATCCTATTAAATAAAGCCAGTAACATAGATCACACAGTGCCATTTTATTCTATCAGCAATCAACTCTTCAGATAATAAAATCTCCTTCATATTATGGCATGGGGCCTTTCTTTTCCAAATTCTTTTGACGTTATTGTTGATGAAACCGGCCTATATTCTGTATGCTATATTCCTAATTGCATTTATACTTGATAAAATCACTGTGATTTTGTTCTGTTTGTTGTTTAGGGGTATAATTGATTATTGTGAAACGCAGGACCTATTAAGCAAGCTTGCAGAATTTGGGGGTTGGTACCAACAGCAAGACTATTCCTGCTGTTCTATATGTGAACTTGATATGAACACAAAGTTACTTGTAAATATCATACATACATATACTCATATTATCCTCGATGTCCTTTATTGAACAGCATTACAATGAGCATTCATAGCACTATTATCCAATACGCACTCATTCTCATAGGCTAGTGACATAAATGCTTCGCTCTTAGTAAAAGGTTGTGAATTTAATCCTACTTGTAACGTACAATTTGTTAGGGCCTACCTTTCTGATTCCCAAAAAAAAAAAAAAAAAAAAGAGTCTATCTCTCCCCTTTTCTTACTGTTTCTCTCACCCACTCATGTCTTCCTATTTTCTAGTTTGTGAAGAAACATACCTCTCGCAAGTCACGAGTCACCAGTCACTTGTTCCGTTTTAACTCTCCCACCCGCCCGCTGATGCCGATGGCATCCACTGGGTCACTATTGATCCATCTGTATCCTCACTCATCAACCACAAATTTCTCATTAGCCATTAATTCAGTTCAGGGAAATTTTAATTTTGTTTTTTGTTTTTTAAATAAAAGGGCAATGGAGTTAACTATATGAAATAGTAGAGAACATTTTTATCAATATCCACTAAGCTCTTTATAAATGCAAGGGCATTATTCTGATAATTTATTATGAATATTCTAATAATTTAAACAACAAATACTTTAACGATAAATACTTCCATACTATGAATATGGATTTTAAACAGAGACAACATTATATTATTATTATTATTATTATTTATTTATTTATTTAGGGCCTAGGTGTTAACAACTTGAGGTTTCAAGTGAAGTCAAACTCAGCACCTCATTAAAGAGTCTTTATACCATTAGGTTATTATAAAGGAAATTTTCAAAAAAAAAAAATGATACTTAAATTTCAAAAACCTCATAAGGTCATCTGAATTTAAAAAATTCAAAATCAATCATAATGCCTTGGAATTTTGAAATGTTAATGAATTTATAATGTTACCTTTTTTTTTTTTTAAAAAAGCTTTAAGTCATTTTCATTGGCCAGCCCACCATTAGAACTTCGGCGTCGGTGAGTCTCTAACGACTTGCAACTATTTTCTTGGAATTTTTTTTAACATTTGTGGCGTAGTTATAAAAGTATAAGTGATGTTCATAACTCTATTAATGTTATTGCTCACGTGTTTTTCAGGTTTTTTAATTAAGATTTTTTCAAACATTCGTAACATAATTGACAACTCTCATAATGATGCTCCAAACTTCATTAATGTTATTAACTACGTGTTTTCCAAATATTTAAATAGGGATTTTTTTTAATATTTGTAACCTGATTGAAAACTCTTATAATGATACTCCCTCCGTTCCTATTATAAGAGACAAATAAATACGTTGATAAAAAAACAGTTAAAATTAAAATGTGTAAAAAGTATTTTTTTTCCAAAATACCCTCATTAATAGTATGAGAGAGAACAATTAAATTATTCAAAGAAAGAGAAGTGAGAGAGAGTGTGAGTTGGAGATAATAATATGTAAAATAGTAACAACTTGTAAGTGTCTCTTATATATAGGAACATCCATAAGCATCAAATGTCTCTTATAATAAGGAACGGAGAGTATTTACAACTCTATTAACACAATCAACTACTTTAAAAAATTCCAAAAAATAGTTGCCATCTTCCGAAACTTTAGTAATTGGTCATTGGCCAGTCGTGCAGAGTTTCAATGATTGACGGTTTACTTGAACTTTGGCACGAGTCATTGGCCAGCCAGTGAGGGTGACTTAAGGATTTTTTAAAAAAAATTAAGAAAAATGACAAAAAATATATGTTGAATTTCAAAATGATAAATAGAGATGTTAACAGATTTTAAGTAGTCAAAATCATTATAAAAATAGTCAGGACCAATTTGTTTTAGTAAAATTCAATAGGTATTTTTTTGTTATTTTTCCAAAAAGTTTAAAAGGCAAAATTATAAACTTACTAGTATTTCAAAATTTTAATTTAGTCATGACGACTGATTTACAGTTTGTTAAATTAAATTTAAATGGGGTTTTGGAGTTTTCGAAATTCAAGTATTATTTTTTTGAAATTTTCCATTAAGCTATCTACATATTTCTGTACAATAAAAAGTATATACATTATAAGAAAACGGTAGTGTCACAGATGCGACCTCACTGTCTTCTTCTCACCTGTTTTCTCCCCTTCTTCTTACCTGTTTTCTTCTTCTTTTCATCTCATCCTTCTCACTAGATCAAATTTTAATATTTTAATTTTATTTATATATATTAGTTCCTAGTTTGAATATAAAAATTAGTTTAAATTTTAATTTAATCTTAAATATAAAATCATAATTCACTTTGTTTTTCATATATATTCATGTTTTTTCATGATAGTCTTTATAATAGTTGCACATATTAAAATTTTTATCAAATGATAGTTTTAGCTAAAGGTATTCTATGAAAGAAAACACATATTTGTTACAAATAACTAACTTAACTGATTTTTTAATCTACTTGAATTAGTCAATTAGCTCTTATATTAATCACTGAATAGAGTGATTTTATATTTATAATTCCTTTTTTTGTCGCAAAATAATTATAATTCCATAAGATATTAAATGGGAAAATTGCAAGAAGGTCCTACACAAGAGAATTAAATACAAAAGGTCTCTCAAAATTATCAAATTAATATGAAGTTTCAAGGGATCTTACCAAATTATCCTTATCTTTTTTTTTTTTGAAGTATGCATTGACGACTCAAAGTACACTCTTTAACAACTTAAGGTGTAACGATTAACAACTACTGTGACAGATATTGACAACTTATGCATTATATTTTTTTTGATGGGCTGAGAAAATGTGTTGTTAATACTTGTCATGATAATTGTTAATCGTTATATCTTAAGTTGTTAATGACTGTTCTTTCAGTTGTCAATGTATACTTAAAAAAATAAGGGCAATTTTGGTAATTCAACAAATAAAATCTTTTGCAATGAGGTCCCTTGGGACTTCAGAATAATTTGATAATTTCAATGGACCTTTTTGCATTTAATTCTCTTAGGTGAAACCTTATTACATTTTTCCCATATTAAATCCAACCATTATTTTTTTGATTTAAGAATAGGGATGAAGAGTTCTACCCAAAAAAAAAAAGGGGATGAAGAGACGAAACGAAAGATGAAAATGACAAAGGATCGAAGTTCCCTTGAGCAGGAGACCTAAAGGTTGTAAATCCTGCTTCTGCTCTCTTCATTTTATCTTTTATCATGAATATGATCTCCTAGAACTGCAAAGGCGCTGCCTCTAAAACCTTCCATAGAAGAGTGAGAGATATGACTAGAGGCCATAATATTGATATTTTGGTTCTGTGTGAGGCCAGTGTCAGTGGTAATAATGCTGATAGAATTATGTGTAAATTTGGTTTCAATAAATGGATAAGGCTGGAATGTACAGGCTGTGCGGGAGGAATTTGGTTACTTTGGAATAAGGATGTTTGCTCAATTCAGTACCTTCATTCAACCACTTAACTCCTGCATGTTTATGTGAATATTAAGGGAAAAAAATTAGTCCTACTGGATTACCGGTGTTTATAGGGAATCAAACTGTGTATTACGTAAGACCTTGTGGGACAGCTTGACTCAGTTAAGCAGCAACATTTTTGGTGCCTAGGTAATGATTGGTGACTTCAATGCCTATATGACTGTAGATGATAAAATTGGGGGCGCTGCTCTAAATATTCCTTCCAAGAGGCAATTTATTGACTGCATTGACAATCAAATTTGATTGGGGTCGATTATGTTGGGGACAGGTACACTTGAGAAAGAAACCTTCTAAAAGAGAGAATTGATTGGGCCTTTGCCAATCCCTCCTGGTTCAATCTTTGCCCTTTTACCAAGATTTATCATCTTAGGAAGTTTGGATCAGACCATCGACCTTTGTTGCTCAAGAGTAGCTCGATTTCTCCAAGCAAGAAAATTAAACCCCCATTTAGATGTCAAGTGGCTTGGGTCTTAGAAGAGGACTTTATTGATGTTGTGAAGAAAAGTTAGAATACTAGCAGATAGGAAGAAAAGGTTAACAACTTTACAATAGAAGCAGAGAAATGGAATAGAAAGAAAGTTGGAAACATCCCCCGTAAGAAGTTTGGGCTTATGAAAAGAATTGATGGGGTAGAAAGAGCAAGAAGCTGTAGAGACAATCAATACTTGGCTAAAATTGAGAATGACCTATGGAAAGAATATAATAAAGTGTTACCTCAAGAAGAATTGATCTGGTACCAAAAATCTAGGTGCAACTGGTTGAGATGGGGTGATAAAAACAGCAAATTTTTTCATGCCTCTACTATGATATGAAGAAAGAAGAACAGAATTGAAGGCCTGAAGAACCCTAGGAAGAATGGGTGTTTGATCAAAATGCTCTAAAAGAATTAGCGTTGAAGTACTATAAAGATTTGTTCAGTAGAGATCCGCAGCGCTAAGGGTAGCTAATGACAACAAAGAGATTCCCAATAATAGAAGCTGATGAGCAAGGCATTTTATCAGCAAACTTGGAAGATGAAGAGATCAGACAAGTGGTTTTTGGTCTAGGAGCCTTTAAAGCCCTAAGGCTAGATGGTATTCAGGCCTTCTTCTACCAAGAGTACTGGAATGTAATTGGAAAAGATACCTATCAGGTGATATGGGAAGTTTTCAATGAGCCTAACAAGATTAACTCCATCAATAACACCAACCTTGTCTTGATTCCTAACCATTCAAGACTTCAAACTGATATCCCTATGTAATGTCAGCTATAAAATTGTGACAAAAATTATCAGTAAAAGGCTTAAAGGAATCATGAGTAAAGTAGTAGGCAAGCATCAATACAGCTTCATCGCAGGGAGACAGAGCAGTGATAACATAATCATTGCCCAAGAGGTCATTCACTCCATGAAGACCAAGAGGGGTTCTAGAGGCTGGTTAGTAGTGAAAGTCAATTTAGAGAAAGCCTATGATAATCTGGAATGGAGTTTCATTTATGATACCTTGAAAGATGTGGGAATTGAGGGAAATCTTTGTAATATGATTATGGCTTGTATCTCTAGTCCGACATTTTAAGTCTTGTGGAATGGGAAAGCTGCCAAAAGCTTTACTTCATCTAAAGGGGTTAGACAAGGTGACACGATCTCCCTATAAATTTTCATGCTGTGTATGGAGAGACTAAGCCACATAATTAGTGATGCTATTAAAGAAGGTCATTGGACCCTGATCTAAGCTAACTCGAACATCCCTTATCTCTCGGACTTGTTCTTTGCTGATGACTTGGTGCTCGTTGTGGAAGCTTCATCTTATCAGGGGGATGTGATGAACCATTATATTAATAAGTTTTTCCAGTACTTGGGACAGATGATGAACAAAAATAAAACAAAAGTTTGCTTTTTGAAGAATGTTCATATTTCCAAAGCTCTTGAGTTGAGTCAGAGGATGAGAGTTATTTTAACTAGTGACTTGCGAAAATACTAGGGCATTCCCATCATACATAAAAGTCCCTCTTACATCCTCTTTGCCTTAATTTTGAAAAAAAAAAAAGCACTGAAAGCTTTCAGGATGGAAAAGGACCTATTTGAACCTTGCTGGTAGAGCTACACTTATTAAGGCAGTCCTAACTGCCCTTTCTTCCTATCACATGCAGATGATGTTGATTCCAAAATAGTTGATTAAGAAATTGGAGAAGACAAGTAGAAATTTTCTCTGGGATGAAAAAGATGATACCAAGAAACTTCATTTGTTGGCATGGGAATAGGTTGCTCAATGGAAGAAAGCTGGGGGCTTAGGAATCAAGAACCTGAGGAAACAAAATGGTGCCTTTATAATGAAACTTTGCTGGAACTTGATGCATGACAGTGAATCACTCTAGGTTAAAGTCTTAAAAAGCAAGTAAAATTGTGGTGACATGTAGCTTCCAGCTATTAATAGAACAACCAACCAATCCCTGACTTGGAAGAGTATTTGTAAGGTTTAGAATGCTTTCAAAAGTGGAGTAGCTAAGAAAATTGGGAATGTTATGTCTACTTCCTTCTAGTTTGATAATTGGTTAGATGTAAATAGACTCCTCATTGAGTTACTACCAGGGTATGAAGGATGGGTGGATAAGGATGGGTGAATGATAGATTATGGACATCAAGGGGAGAGTGGAACATACAAAAGCTATGCTATTGGTTCCCTTACCATGTTGTGAATCATATCACTTACACACACCCACCCTGTGAGGAGAGAGGAGAGGATAAATACTTTTGGCAGCCATCCACTGATGACCGCTTCACTGTTAAATCTGTCTATAATTTTCTCCTTGCAGGTACTTAGAGATAAGAGGACAACATTTAGAAGCTTCTTTAGAGATGGCAATATCAAAGAAAATTCGTTCATTCATGTGGTTGTTCAATTATGGTCGAGCTCATAGTATGGCCTTGAGGTGTAAAAGAGGCCTTGTAGCGACAGCAACATGCCCTCTCGGATGCGAAGAAGACAAAGACTCTATGTATTTACTGAGGAGTTGCACCAATGCGTCTCAAAGATGGAAGTCAGTAGTTGATCCGCATTTATGGCCTACTTTTCGCTCCTTGCAAGGTTCAGAATGGATCAAATAGGATCTCTCTAAAAGAGGTAGGCTATCCTTACACTAAGAAGAATCATTGGGCTACCCTATTTGGATATATATGTTGGGATATATGGGCCTCTCGGTGTAACAAGCTGTTTGATTCATGAGAAGGTGATACTTACTCAAATGCGCATGCCAATTTCTTGAGAGCCTATTGGGATACAAATTTGATGATGAATTGCAAGTTTTACTCTAGCCTCCGACCTGGAAAATACTACACACCCCATATCCAAGATAATTTCGTGAAATTAGAAGTAGATGGTTCAGTCTTACAAGATGGCAGAAGTGGCTGTGGAGGGGCTGTTTGGAGCAGTTATGACCAATGGCTAGTGGGATTCAGTTGTAAACTTACCTCTGTGCCACCAGCAATTGCAGAACTACTTGGCATACTTCATGGTTTGCAACTTTGTTGGGACAAACGCTACAGGAATATAGCAATATATACTGATTGTGTGGAAACCTTGTCTATGATTTATAGAGGCTGTTAAAATACGTATCCGTTCAAGCATATTGGTGATGTTAGATTTTTACTTCACAGGGACTGAAAGGTTGTGCCAATTCATATTTTTAGGGAGTCAGTTCCCATTGTCGTTCATTTAGCCAAATTCTTTCATTCCATGAAGAGCAACTTTTGTATCCTAAATCAAACACCTCCTATTGTTGAAGGGGAGGTTGATAGAGAAAACTAGGTCTTGTGTTGTTTTGTTGGTATTTTGTAAGGGTCCCAGTCTTGGATTAAGGGGGTGTTTGGATGAAACCAAATCATAGTTTGGAGAATAGCTTATGGAGAATAGATTTTGAGAGAATAGATTTTATGAAGAATAGATTTTGTGAAAAAGTAATTCTGATAAAGTGAGAGTATTTGGATAGTTGTTATTAGAAACATTTTTCATATATACAAATTACTAAAAAGGACATAAGTTAATATGACAATTACATGAAAGATAGATTTTAGAATATATTTTAATTTGAAAGAATAAAATTGTTAATAATATATTTTTTTTCCAACATAATTAATAATATATAAGATAATCTAATTAATAAATAATTAATATGTGTATATATTTATAAGATATAAGATTAAATATGTTTATAGAAAAATAATTGAAAGGTTTTAAAGTTATATTATTGTTGGGATCTATTCTGATAAGCACAATCATATTCTCCAATTTGACTCACAAGTAGAATAGATTCTGATTTTTCTTCCTGTTTAGCAAATTTTTCACCCAAACCATAAATCATGGTTTGGATCCCAATACCGTAATTAGTTTCAGGTATTTGTCAAAAACCAAAAAAAAAAAAAACTTCCCTTGAGCTTCCTACATTTCTGCGTGCATCTTGGAGGAACGAAAGTGCTCATTAACTTCGAAGGATGCTGGGAATGCATCAATCCCTTCAGATAGCTCGCTCGAGACTGGAAACAGGCCTTTGAAACGCACCCTCTAAGAAATTCCAAGTCTTCCAATATCACTGTAAGATCCCTATTAATCTGAAGCTCATGTTTAATCCCCAACGCCTCAAACCACTTCTTCTATGCCTGAAGGGTATTATCAGAACGTCACCAACCTCGCGATGCTTTCGTCTCTTACAACACTACCCTTCACTCACATTCTCTCTCAAATACCGCACAAGCGCTTCTCCAGATGAGCGCTTGTTTACTGTATCATACCTCATTAACAGGTTAGGGTTTTCCCAAGAAGCTGCTTTAGATGCTTCCAAGAAAGTTCGATTTGGCACCTCGCGAAAGCCAGATTCAGTTGTCATCTTCTTTGAAAGCCACGGCTTCACTAAGTCAATGATAAAAGATGTCATTAAAAGGGATCCGTGGCTTCTTGTGTGCGATCCCCAAAATAATATTCTGCCGAAGTTTGAATTTTTCCTCTCAAAAGGTGCTACTACCTCCGACCTTAACTCCATGGTGCTAAGGACACCTAGATTCTTGATGAGAAGCTTAGAGAATCACATAATCCCATCATATGAGATGTTAACAGGGTTTCTTCAAAATGATAAAACCACCATTTCATGTATAAAAGGCTATCCAGATGTGCTTTATGACACTCGAGTGAGACAATGTATTAACTTGTTGCTTAATAATGGAGTGTCAAGGACAAACGTTGCTCTCATACTCAGAAGGAAGCCTCGTGTGCTGCACTGCCCTGATCTCCTTACAAAGGCGATAGAGGAAGTTAAATGTTTGGGATTTAATCCTTTGAACATAGCATTTAGTGTTGCATTGGTAGCCAAAATGAGTTTAAGTAGGTCCCGCTGGGAAGCAAAAGTTGATGTCTACAAGAGATGGGGATGGTCAGAAGAAGAATGGTCAGAAGCATTTAGGAAGCAGCCGCATTGTATGTTAGCATCCGAGGATAAAATTGATGCAGTTATGAGTTTTTGGAGTAACCATTTGGGTTGGAATCCTTTGCTTCTTGTCAAAAGACCACATATGTTTGGATATAGCTTGAAGAGAAGGATTATCCCGAGGGCTTCCGTTTTACATTATCTTAAGTCCAAAGGGTTGATAAAAAAGGATGCTAACTTGGTTACGCCATTTACTATATCTGAAGAGCAGTTCTTGGAAAGATTTGTGAAATATTTTGAGGAGCATAATCATCATCTATCGAAGCTATATGGAGAAAATTTGAAGAATGATGGGCTTCATTTTCATGAAATATTGAAATTTTAAACTTCTGTAAGTCATCCCGATTTTGTTTCTCCTTACCATTGAAGTACTCGCCTTGTTTGAATTGGGATTCAACTAATTTTACTGACTTGGTTCATTTGCTAAATTGGACCTCTGTTTTTATGCAAATCAATATTAGTAATATCTTATGCCTTGGAAGTAGGTGCTTCGGTTGCAGAATACTTTTGTGAGCAATTTTTTTCAACTCTCCTTCCTTGATTTAATAAATAATGAACTTTGCATCCCTTAATTCTGGTGTGTTCAGAAGTAATACCTATGGATTGGCTGAAAGGTTAACAATATCTTTTTGTACCTGAAGCAAATTCCCCATTTAATTGTGATTATCTCTTGGAACCATGAGGTATTTATTCATAATTTCACATAGCGAGAAGTTTGAATATTGTCAAGTGTCAACTTCACCTGTAAAGATAAGAAGTTCAAGACATGTTGCTGGGATGAGGACTCCATATTCCGTTTTATCAAAATTCTAACTTTTTTATCTCCACACCTCGACAAATGACCTTGAGATCCGTTGGCGACCATGTACTGTTTTAATATGTTTCCTCTGTCATTTTCCTTCTCGCTGCAAGGTAGGGAAAATCATCTCAAGGACAGAACTAAGCAGGAAAAATAGGCTATATCCTTATGCCATATTGATTAGTAAGGTCTGAAATCATCACTAAAGAAACACTCGATTGTGATTTGCAGGGTCATTTTAATTGCTGTGCAAAGCTTCAAATATTTCTTAGGCCATGATGGCTCAGCTCTAACTTCGTCTTCTAATCAGGCTGAGCTTTCAGATGGAATTTACGGATATTCTTGAAGAGCATGGAGGTGCTTATTATAAATGTACAAATTCAGATCTTTTTTCACTTAACATTGGCTGTTGTCTGTGATCGAGCAAGCTGCTCAGTCGGGGCCCTTTTACAACTGTGGAATCTCACAAAAGAACGACTCTGTGAGGAAGATGGAACCTCCAGGTTTCTTGGGAGTCTGAGGCGTCCCATACTATACAATGTAAGACCCAGATACTTCCGAAAAATCTTTATAAAACTGTTATGGAGGGCCTTTCTTTTCCAAACCTTTTAAAGTTATTGTTGTTGGAATGAACATGTATTCTGCATGTTATCTCTTTTTCCTTTTCTATTTTTTTGATACAATGATGTCTCTTATTCTAATCACACCTATACATGATTAATTACTATGATTTAGTTTCTGTACAGCTTGTTCACAGATATAATGCGAACCGTACTTATTTAGCAATTTTGCAGTCACCTATGCAATGGCAGGCTATTCATGTTCTTCTGCAACATGTTTTCCTAATATATGGTTATCCTGACATGAATAAAAACTATTTTATACCCACTTGATATGAAACCGAAGTTACTAGTTAATATGATATATTTTCCTCCCTGATTTTGATCCTCTATAATATTTAGGATCAGCGTCAAAAAGAAACCATATGTATGTTCTACCTCAATTCTAATTATAAGCCTCGTTTATAGTAATATATAATTATGCCATCCAGGTTGATTGAAAAAGTTTTTTTTTTTTTTTGGTTCTTTACTTTTGAGACATGCAACAGATGAAAGTGTGCTGTTTCCTGTTAATGCATCCTGAAAACCTTCAAATTCTTGTTCAAAAGATTGTTAAACCACGTGTTTGGCAAAAATGTTGGATTTGTAAAATGTACCTTCAGAGATATTTGAATGGGAAAAATAAACAGACTTTGGTTCTAGAATGCTAATGCAGGCATTGCAGAATTGTCAGTAAGCCTCCATGGCATTATGCCATTATCTTCCAACATGCATTAATCCTCATGTTCAAATGAAATGCTAGTTAGGTGAAAATAATGTATGATATCTTTCAGTGTCCTAGGTTCGAATAACGTTGTAAATGCATTGGCAAATCAACACACACACACACACACAGAGAAATAACGTTATAACTTTGGGACTGGAGAGGAGCAACAGTCATGAGTGAACGAAAAAATTAATATAAAGGTAGTATGATATGAAGTTTATTACAAATTAAATAGTTTATAAGTAATTAACATCAGTTTTTATTTAAGATTATAAGCTATAAGTAAGAAAATATGTAAAACTTTAGATTAACATGACATCAATATATAATAAACAAATAACTAACTAATGAGTGGGCAATTAAGGTTTGAATTTCAATTGGATAAAAAGTCTAGTACTGGTGTTTTGTACATAAGAATCATCATGAGCATGAAATCTATCGGCCTGTTTGGTAAGGCGTTTTCAAGGGGGAAAAATAGCTTATAGATGTGATAAGTTAGTTTGTAAATTTGGGAGTTATTTGTCACAATTTTTGGCTAATCTGACTTATGAATTCAAAATTATTTTTTAAAGCATAATTGCAAAAACATCTAAAATTTACTTATAACTTTACGCAAAAGTAGCTTTTTGAAATTAAAAGACATTGTTGTTCTTATATTTATGTTGTTCTTATGCTTTTCTCTATATATTCTTTGTATTTCTCAACTAGTTTTTGGTTATTTATTTTTAATATTCTTTTAAGTGAAAATAATTTTTAATAGTTTTTAAAATATTTTTTATTTTTAATGTTATTTTTATTTTATATTTACATAAATTATGCAAAGTATACCATCCAATTAATTATGTAATATTAGTTGGTTCAAAAATTTTCATATTATTATGATTTCTAATTTAACTATGTTTTATTCATTAAATATAACTTTTTTCTATTAAATAATTTAAAATTATTATATTTTGTAAATTTATATTTTTAATTATTTTTTATTATTTAATAAAAGTCATACGTATTTTAGTCATTGTACAAACTAGATTGACTTATTCAATCATAATTGAAACAGTTTTTTTATTTTACAAACTAATTTTTACAAAAATTAGTCCAAATATAAATCACATTACTCAATTGAATTTTTATTCAATCTGACTTTTTTGAAAATCAGGTTGAAAATATATTTTTTTATTGCTAATCCAAGTTGCTCGAAACTTAAACATAAAGTATTGATTTGTACAATAAATTACTCTTAGAAACTTCACTAATTGATAGCTATTCTTTTTGCTTTGATTTTTAAATTATATTAGTATATCCTAACCTCTGTGCTTGGTGTTGTCAATGTATACTTTTTTCTTTTGGCCAACAGTCCTGTCCATATATCAATAGTGAATAATCTACTTTTTTTTAATCTTAAATATAATAATTAGTTAAAAAAATTTGTTCTGAACCTAAATATAAATTTTAATCTCCATGTTCTGTTGTCTCCTATCTTTGTTACTTTTTTTCAAACTATCCCTATAATTATATTCTTATAGGATGTATATATTATGTTGATATTAGTACTTCAATATATATTATTATAAAGTCGTATTTTATGAAAATAAACACATACTTTTTTTTAATAAATAATTAACCCACTTAATCTTTATTCATTGTACCTAATTATCGGATAATTAAACTTGGAAAGAATTAGGACTAGATCTTTCATGTGCAGGGAGAAGAGTGGTCTCAAAAGATTCAAATGCAGCAAATTACAAAAATATCCGCCTCCATTCACATATATTAAAATCCTACTCATGACTCATCCATCCATGTAATCCTTTAGATGCCCGGAATATCCCTTATTCGGGATTACTCTAATTTAAAATATTAAATTAAATTAAATTGGTTTGCTATTACAAGTACATGCTGTTGACAAATTGACATATTGCTTTAATTATTTTGTCTTTTCTATTGACTCCAATTCCAAATCATTTTAATTGAAATTAGTTGTGTTGTTTGCACGCGTTGATTTGATTCCAAATCATTTTGTTTTTCTATGGATTATTATTTCCACTATTCCCAACTGGTTCTCTTTTTTTTGGCAAACACGCGCCATCTTTGATTCTTATTATAATAAAGATCAATTAATAAACTCTTTTTTATAAATTAGAGGGTTAATTTAAAATTTGATATTGCTTTTAAATTTCTAAAATTATCCTAAATGAATTTAATGGCATTTATGAAGAAATTTAAATAGGTTGTAGAAATCCACATAATAAGTTTTGGTCCAATAGGATAAGCTAACTGGTTTCTCACAGCATGATAATCTAAAGCTCAAATTTTTATTGGAAGAAATATCTTAACCTGGCAGTACTTTGAATAAGCTTTTAATAGGAGGATGTTTATGTTGAACAAAAAAAAATCCGTATAATAAAGATCAATTTATGGAGAAAATAATATTTAATATTATTAACTAATTCAAATTCAGTAATGATTTGATGTAAATTATTAATTATTAATGAGATAGCTATTTTAAGATATTTTGTTTATATCCATATGATGCTCACATTAAATTGTTGATTCAAGCCAAAATTATCATCCTAAAATAAGAGCGAGACAATTGAAGGAGAGAGTAGTTCGAAAATAACGATATATGGATAAAAACTGTAAGAAAGCAATCTAATTATAATCACTTCTTAGCTACTTGAGTCCAAAAAAAAAATTCTTAGCTACTTAATTAAAAAATTAAACCGGACCATATAAAAACTGCAAGTGGAAATTCGTCTAATAAATAATAGGTTAATTTTTTGAAAATAGATAGTAGAGTATTATTTATTTTTTTGGTGGAATATTTTTATAATTATAAAGAGACGCTTCAAAGGTTATTGTAGCCATAGCCGACAATCCAGGTTTACTTCCCTTTCCCCCAAAAAAACAAGGTTTGGTTGCTTTTTCACCAAATTTCTGTCTCAACCATCACAGTAATTAAACTGGACCACTTAAATAATTAATTGCACACCGAATTATTATTGATACCCAAATGCTGATATGTTAGTTTTGCCCAGTTAGGATTTCGTTTGAATTATGAAGTCAACTTTCTTTTTTTTTTTTTTTAAATAAGGTTCATAGGGATGATAGAATTATCGATTATTTATTTATTAAACTTTCGGTGACCTATCTACTTGTTCCATCTTCTAAAGCATAAAGATATGTTGAGAAAGTTGATCACTTTATTTTTATAATTTTGAAAGTTCCTAAACTTTAACTTTGATACAAGTTAATTCTTATAATTTTAACTTGATTATAACTCAATCTCTGAGTTTTACAATCCCGTCCTATAATTTAACCATTTAAAATATTAGTCCCGTCTCTTAAAAAATAAAATTATATATCTTATGAAGTTTAGGAACTAAAAATTTCAATTGATTAAAATTATAAGAATTGAGTTGCTCACAGGGTTGTTAGAGTCTGAGGATTGGGATCAAAAGGTTGATGTCCTCAAATATTTTTATATATATCACCATTCGCCAGAAAAGAACAAAGCGATTGATTAACGACAAAATTATTGTTGCTTGGTGCTGGATTATTATTATTATTATTATTATTATTATTATTATTATTATTTTAAGCGATAATTATTCTAAATTAAAATTAAAATGTAAGACCAAACGGGAGTTTAGTGGGCACCTAAAAGTGGGAAATCCCAACAACCTCGGAACTCATTAACAATTGGACTTGTATATGTTAATTACATGTACGGATCAATAATTAAATTTCATAATTCCTTCAGTCCCACCAAAGTTGGACAATATTTATATATTCGCGAAAAATTACAACGAAGAACCTTAAATTATTAAAATATTTATTCATAAAAAAAGAATACTCTACACATTTTTAAGTACTAAGCAGAAAATTTGGTGTTTTCTGTAGGAAGGCATCATCAGCTTCAAGTGGTTTTTTCCCCCTAAATCATTTAGAATATGAAATTTTAAATTTTAAGAGGTTTCAATAATTGAAAATCTATTACTCCTCTGGTCCTTAATATAGGACCTAATTGTTGAGTTGATTTTGGTTCTAAATATAAAACCCATATATCATATTTATTAATTTTTTCTAAATTACCCTTATAAATACTCCCTTATCAATAATCAAGTAGAAGTGAAAGAAGGGGTATTAAGAAAGATGATTATAGTATTTTAGAAAAAACATGTCATATTTTTTTATAATTAACTAACTTACTTAACTTCCTTAATTTAACCAAATTAGTTATATGGGTCTTATATTAAAAACCGGAGGAGTATTAACATAGTACGATCTTTTATAAAACTTCTTACATTAACCTAAAATCATGATGCTGTCGTATGGAATGACGTAATCATTCTCTAAACATATTTTATTCATAATTTTATTTGCAGCTTTTGCTTTAATTTCCACTATTTCCCTAATTTATGATCTCTCCCAGAAAAGTGAGTTTGATTCATAATCCACCTCCCAAAAGCAAAGTGCAATTTAGACTCCTCACACTTAAAACATCCAATCATTTCTTTAAACACGAGACTCTATGCTCATTGCGTTCCAATTTTATATTGTACAGAACCTTGCTTGGATTATTATATGTAAATGACCTTCCTAACCTTTATAACGGTTAAAATTATTGCCTACACATGAATTAAAATTTAAAAAAAATGTTCATTTTAATCTTAATCAATTATAAGTTTAACCTCCTAATTCTTATATAGCATTCAAAATATGAGACAATGCTTGAGAAAAATTATCCTCTTTTCATCTTATTCCTAAAGTAGAGAAAAAAATATTTTTTCCATTATTTATAAGTCACACTATTAAATTTTTAATATGAATGTATTATTTTGCCTTTTATTTATTATCACATAGATTATTATTTTAAATTTTAAGATAAAATTAATGAAATTTAAGTTTGCTAACCCCACAGATATTTCGGTTTCTACTGTTAAGCACTTTGAAAGTAAGATCATAATCTTTTCTACTGTAGTACTGTAGTTGTAATTAAATGAGTACCGGAGCATGTTTTGTTTAATGTCATAATTAACAATCTTACATCGTTAAATCAAATAAACAATTAAATGAACGGATAAGATTAAATGTGTATAAAGGTACGGAAATAGTGAATGAAGAAGATCCAAACCCCAAGTCTCTCACAGCTTCTTCCCCCCACCTCCCTTCTTCTCCTCTCAGTATATATAATATGAATTCACTTTTGAGACTTTTTATCACACTAGTAAGCTGATGAACAAGTAGTCATATTAAAAGTGTCGATATATATATATATATATATATATATATATATAAGAGGTCCGATCATGATCATCTGACTGAGTCTTAGTCAAAAGCTGGGAAGTAAAGTAGCTTTTGTTCCTGGGAAATCGAAAATAATGGAGGATAACCTGGGAGGAAGTTCCTCATCATCAATCAATGTTGTTGACAGAAGTAGTAATGGTGGGATTGTGAAAGAACAAGACAGGTTGTTGCCAATAGCTAATGTTGGTCGGATTATGAAGCAAATTTTGCCGCAGAACGCCAAGATCTCGAAGGAAGCGAAGGAGACGATGCAGGAATGTGCGTCGGAGTTCATAAGCTTCGTCACCGGCGAGGCATCTGATAAGTGCAGAAAAGAGAGGAGGAAGACCGTTAATGGCGATGATATATGTTGGGCCCTGAAAACCCTAGGGTTTGATGATTACGCAGAGCCACTTAAAAGCTACTTGCATAGATATAGAGAGCTTGAGGTAGATCAACGAGCCAATAATTCTAATCATCATCATCATCATTAAGAAGATATAGAATTAGGAGCTGGAGCTTTTCTGATATATCGATGTCCAACTCCGTGTACTACTCTAGTTCTCTCTTTATATTCATATTATTAATCTTCGCAATTTGCATGTTTTTTGTTTGTTTCTGAACATTAAACCAACGAATCTTGGATCAGTTATCAGTTTGTCTGCTTCTTTTGTGTTTCAATCAATGAACTTATATTATATCCTCGGACGCATGACATGATCAAGCTCTTTGGTTGAACAGTCTTCTAAGTTGTTCGATCGATCTCCTGAGAAAATTAAAGTAGTAGTTCGCTTTGTTAAGAAAAAGCTCTTAATGCATCAGCAATTATCATCAATGGATAGGACTCATCTCAAGGAAAGTTCACGACACTGGGTTTCAGTTTTCTTTTAATTTTGTTTGAAAGTCTTGTTCAGTTTGATCTGAGTTTCCTTAAAAAGTTATCTGCTAAATCTTCCATTTTTGTATTGAGAACTTACCGTGATTTTCCATGAATTCTATTGTAGATGTATTTCAAGATCGATGTTTTTAGTTTCATATTGTGTCTCCTTGAACTTGAAGTTACTGAATATCAAAGAGAAGTCCACGAGCTCGTGTTCAGTTTGATCTGAGTTTAATTTCTCAGAAAATCTGCTAAATCTTCCACTTGTGTTGAGAACTCGTCAATTTTTTCTATGAATTTTTCTACCTTACATTGCATATCCTACAACATCGATGTTTGGAGTTGGGTCTTTTAATCTTGTACCCATGATATTAGAATCTACTTAGTTTCATGTTTATTAATTAGTTAGATTCTTGTCGATTCTTATTGTTCTAGTCTAAGTAGGTCTATTCCGATCAGTAATATATTAAACATTTATTGTCGCCGTCACTATGCAAATTGGTATCAAAGTCGCTTTCTAGGGTTTCTCTTCACATTGTGAATTAGTAATTAGGTTCAAATAATCAATTAGTACCCTCAGTGATGTTGAATAGTAAATCTAATGACTAGGGTTTTGTACTGTTAGCCCAAAATTTTTTTTTTAGGGCTTGAGGGGACCGCATGTTATCTTATATTATAGTATTGTCCTTAAATTAGTGTTGTCCACAGGTAAGCCAAAAGAGTAAAATTGAATAGAAAATTATGAGAATTTATGCTTTTCAAGATTCAATGCACACATATATAACTCCTTAATTACTTTCACTAAGAGCACGTTTCGTTTGTCCTCGTATCTACCTCTTATATGATATAAGTTAGATAGTTAATTTTTAGATATTTAAAAAAAATAGTTAAGTTGTTTATTTGTAATAAATGAATATTATCTTTGAAAAAAAATCTCTATTAATTATATGTATTAAAATTACCTCTTGATGAAAATTTTTTAACATGTGAAATTACTGTGGAAATTATTTGGGGGTAAAATGAATAAATGTTGGAGATAATAAAGTGGATCGATATCTTATATTTAAGATTAAATTGAATTTTTAACTAGCTCTTATATTAAATACAAGAGGTAGTATACGATTTTATCTCTTAGAAAACTATTCACCATCTTAAGTTATTATTTTTCAATATGCTGTTGAAAAAGAAAATGCATTGTACCTAGCCAGCTAGGCTACCATATCTCTCTAGCTCCGGGCATAGTTTGAGATTGATAATTTAAAAAAAGATTGATTATACTAGGGTAATTTCTAAATGTGCCTTAAATCAATAGTTAGGGTTTCCTCCATTGAAAAATGTCTTGTTCTTGTGGCCTTTTGAAGAATTGTATTGGACTAGACTACTGTTCTTACATGTGCATGCATTGGTTAAATCAAAATCTGTTTAATCTTTCTTTTATTTGGCCAGCAAAAATCAAGGACAAAAATCGTGCACATGGATCAATCAGAATCACAGATGGATAATCTGATTTATTAAACTTATATTAAGTTAGATTTTTCACAATCATATGTATTGAAAAGGAAAACATAATACCTAAAATAAACAATATAATATATTTCACAGTCATGAATCATGATGTAAATTTTTCTGGGCCGAAACTTAATAATATTGAAACTAAATAGAAAAAAGCCATATAATAACTTAATAGGAGAAATAACAATTATCCAATCCAATTTTCTGATATGAGCATCATCAAATCATTGAATCTCTTCGGGTCAACTCTGTGACGGCTTTTTTTCCATTTATAATGTTCAAATTCTTGATCTTATTTTTCAAAAGAATTAGTTTTTTTCTTCATTAAACTTAACCAATATTATTGTTTCGATATATTCCTTCAGTCCTATATATAAAATCCAATTTGCAGTGTAATTTACACTATAAAACGAGTTATGTATTTAGGATCAGAGGAATATTATACATTGGTGAGTTCATTACAATTGACCAATATCTCTTTGACTTTCTAACAACACTCATACATATCCACAGTGATCTTTTCAACTGACAGTCCTGTAAGACAGATAATTAAATTATCAGATAATAAAGAACATCATTAATTAATATTAATAATATATTAATAAAAGAAGTACGGAGTAAGTATTGAATAAGAGGAGGGAAGAAGCATGAGGTGCGATGGGTCATGTGTAAGCCAAGCAATTGGTTGCCCTCCAACGCATGCCACATACATTCTCAGGCTTCCTGCTGTTGGCACGCACGTGCTTCATTCTCTGCCTATCAATTTTAACAAATTTAATCTCTCACATAACACATATCAGAAATTTACAAAAGGGTCAAGGCAAAAGTTTACATTAAGAGAAGGTACTGCTGTTCGGTCAGAGGGAAATAGAAGAAAGAGAAGGGGAGGAAAAATTTTAATAAGTCTTATTTAAAAAATTAGAGAAATGGTGTTTCAAAATTTTAATAAAGAGAAGAAATAATATAAAAAAAGAATAAAAATTAATTAAAAACTTTTAACTCCATTTCTTGAATTTTTTAAATAAAATTCATTAACATTTTTTCTTCCTTCCCTTCCTTTTCATTTTTTTCATACCAAACAGACCCTAAAGAGTGTTGGGTACTTGAAGTTTTTTTTTTCTTGTGTAAATTCATCTTAAAAGTTTAAAATTGTAACAATATTACTTCATACCATTAAAAAGCTAACGTTGACAATTAAATGTTGACCATTAATATTTTTAACTATAGAGAATAATATTGCTACGATTTTAAACTCTCAATACAAATTTACATCCCAAAAAACTTTAGGACGCCCAGCTTTCTAAATGAAAAATTTTAAGACGAATTTGTATCTTAACTTTTTTTTAAAAATTTATCCCTTGTAATAACCTTAAGCTTCACATCTATAAATTAGTGGGGGTGTGTGCTTAAGCAGGACATAATCTGGAAATCTGTCCAATTTAATTGGTTTTACCTTAAATCATATATAACGCCTGTATAATCTTTTGAAAAAATAAAGCTAACTGTTCTCTGTATATTAACTAACTTTGCCTGCAATATCAGTAGGTTTGACTAGTCAATAATGTCATGGGTGGAATCAAGATCTCGGGTCGGGTGAATTTAATAACGGATGCTTGTCGGCATTGCAACCTTTTTTTTTTTTAATAGGAAAATGAGGTAGTCCATATTAAAAAACCGTAGAACAAGTTAAAAAATATAAAAAATAATTAAATATATAACAGGGGCTTGCATGCTGACTAATTTTTCCAATAAAAATGATATTTATATTTTATATTTTTTTATGTTACTAAAATTCACAATGCCGTTCTTTTTGCAGGTAAATAATAATCTCAAGTATAAGGAAGTATATACTTTTTCTGATTTCTAGTTAAAAAGACTTTATTAATGGTCCTTTATAATTAGACTTTGATCATGAACAAGCTAATGTCTTCTTCCTTCCAAATGTGACTAAATATATACATTTTTCTTTCAAAGTGACTAAATATATACATGTAAAAGGAAAAAAGTTAATATGTTGCGTAAACAACAGAAGACATAATTATTAATAAATTTTGAAATAAAATATTCACGAGCTCCTATTCCCCCCCCCCCCAAAAAAAAAATTCTTTCTTTCTTTCTTTCTAACACATAAGGCCATGGAACCAAGAATGCATACATGTATATAAGAGGGCAAAATAAACTAAGCAAGCACTTAAGTAGTATGCCACTTACACATATTAGCATGTCATAAATGTTTGGGGAGTATTCAAGATTAGAGACTTCCATCTATACAATAGATATATTGACCCAACTAAAAATTTCTAATCATAAGTGACTTAATCATCAGTTTCACAGATATATATATCCTATTCAAAGTAACATATAATATTAAATATGAACAGTTCTTTTAATAAAATTTAAATATTAATTCGTCATGTTGTAAATGATTTGTCTTTTTTATTGGACATACATGAAACCCGCTAAATGACAGTCTTTGCTTTTATGTAACTACTTTTTTTTTTTTTTAATGAAAGGATTAAAATGTGCAAAATTCATGATTCATACGTGCAAAATTTATAATTCAACCCTAGCTTACTTCTCTAGGCACAAAGGAAAAGTCGAATTTGGCCAAGCTTAGCATCTAACTCAACTTCTAAAAAGGCTGTATTAAGTGAATTAATGATTTCAAACTCGAAATATATATATGCGAGTGTGTGTGTTTTGTTGCCTTAAAAATTGCAGTTGCAGAGGTCAATCGACTTACTCGGAACTCATGCATCTTTACAAAATTTAATCCCATGATATCCCTTCTTTGCGATTCTCCATACAGGACACCACACACAGATATATGTGTGCGCGCATATATAATTTGAATACTTTCCCCTCATCATTCCGATTGTGTCTCGCATGATCCAAACCATTGACATGACTTTGAAACAGAGCATCATGATCTTGTTGCCATGTTAAGCACAATGTACGGCAGAACAAATATGGTAAGACGACGACTTTCCAGGTCAAAAGAACAGTGAGTATAATTTTGAATTATTACTAGTCAAACTGTAAATAAAAAGAAGTCCCTGTTATTCAAATTCCATTTTATAAGTCAACGATATACCAGAAATGATGACAAGAAAAATAAGATGGTCAATACTCCATTGCTGCTAGTTGATAAAAAAGAATACCTGCTCTTGCTCCCTCATTAATCATCACCGCCGCCATGAATGCCCTTCTCTCGCAGCGTTTGGTGCTTCTCTCTCTATTCCTGCTTCATCTCAACCTTTTCGCTGTAGCTTCTGCGTCTGACCCTGTAAATCCCGACGCTGATAGGTGCA